GTGGTCTGCAGCAGTCTAAAGATGGCCCAGAAACATGGGCAACTTGGTTTCAAAGTAAATTTGTCTGRTTCTGTTGGTAATAAGATGCATCTGCATGAGCAGTTACGACTAATTTCACATATATCAAGAACATTATGAGCCATTTATTTTCAGAATCAGGGAAGTAATGAGTTTTGAACAGGGGAATAAACCTAACAATGGCTCCATGTCAYCTTTGAGTCTGCGTTCTAGCTTGGCTGGTAGCAGTTGCATATGGAGTGAACAGTCTGGTGCTTGAAGATGGACAATACTGAGTCGTGTTRTGGTGCTGTTGTTGATTTGTGGAATTCTCATGTCCAGCTCCAGAAGACAGTCTTTTATGGATTAGAAGAATGCGTAGATGATGGCAGTGCTCTGTCAGCAGATTGTTTCCCTGCAGATCTCCAGAACTCTGTCAGTTTTTGTAAGAAGATAAAGCCTGTGCTGTAGAAAAGACTGAGTTGCTGCTGCTGCCCTCAAGTATMTGAAAGCTACTTCATGTTGCCACTGTGCTTTTGCTGCTGGTCCACTTGTGGTGTGCTGCATGTCTACAAATTRTTGGGAGGAGCTGGAAGCTAATGCTTGGATAAGCCGAAGCCAGGGCTTCTTGTCCATCATGAACAAAGGGCCTTTTGARGTTATGGGAATCAGTGCAAAAGTCAAATGCTTCCCTAAGAATGGCAATGGGACTAATGGAACTCATTTTAAAAACAAAGAAAACCTCAAACTAACCCATGACAAACAACCCCTCCAGCTCCTCCAGTAAAAAAATGAGAAAAAAAAAACCCCAAAAAACGATAACCCAATCCCCAAATCAACCCGAGGCCAGCCTAGGCCTTTTAGTAGAGGAGACTGGTCTTTTGGACGGTACTCTCTTGCTGAGGAAGACCATCCCATCTGAGATAAATTCTAGTTCAGTGCTAAAGGTGTTCTCATAGTCAAGGAGGTTTAAATTGTTTAAATTTCAGTGAAAGACCAGCCACCTGACTGTTAGGGTGCAGAAGAAAACCATGTCTTTTTTTTTTCTTTCTTCCTTTTTAAGACCTTATTTAGGAAAAGTTTATGCATGTCTAACTCAGAGCACTCAGTCTGAAGTGCTTTATAGGAGGCAGTTGATCAGGTCCTGGGGCTTGAGGACCTGCAGCAGACCTTTCCAATAGCAGCTTAATGCTTGCATTTCTGRTGGYACATTGAGTTGACCCTCCAGCAACTGCATGAATTGATTCAGTTGCTGTATTTTTTAAAGARGTAAAAATGCCACCGTGGTTTTCCAAGTGCTTTACTTGRCGAATAGTTGAGTGGAGGCAGACTTTTTAGTTAGTTCTGTAGTGATAGGACAGAGGGTAATGGCTTTAAACTAAGAGTGTAGATTCAGACTAGATCTAAGGAAGAAATGCTTCCCTGTGAGGRTGGCGAGGCCCTGGCACAGGTTGCCCAGAGAAGCTGTGGCTGCCTCATCCCTTGAAGTATCCAAGGCCAGGTTGAATGGGGCTTGGAGCAGCCTGGTCTAGTGGAAAGTGTCTGTGCCCATGGCTGCAGGTTCGACTAAGTGACCTTTAAAGGTCTTTTCCAACCTGTATGATTCTATGTTAAAGTTCTTTTAGATGCTAGAAGAGTGGAAGAAGGGCACTCAGATAGATTTCAAGATGACTARATTTTGGAAAACTAGTAATAACAGACCAACAATGTCTCCCCACCCCCCAAACTCTCTCTTCTTCTTGTGCTTTTTTTTCATTTTTGGCCTGAAACGGAGTGCAGTACTTAGAGAATGGCTGTTGTTCCTGATGTGCATGCCAAAATAAAACATTTTCCCAGATGTGACCTCCTTCAGAATTAAAGTGAGGTCTTATGTCTCATTAGTYTAGGTACTTGTCTGCAGGATCTGCAGTCCAGCTAGGTTCAAACAGGAGCTTCCTGTAGGAGCTGCTCGCAAAACAAACATTCCTTCCCTTGGGACATTACCTCAAATGATTGTTTCTAAAGGTGTTTTAAGTTGATAATGTTTTAGAGCTGTCTTTGACCTTTTGTAACCTATGTTTTCAATAAATGACCAGCATTGGACTCCCCTGTTGCATTCCTTGTCAAGCGTGCAGTTCTCCATGGAGCTGGCTCAAATGGAAGTTGCACATTGTGACATGGTCCAGGCCAGTCTGTGTTTACCAAGATGAGCTGTTGCTGAGACTATGGATTTTGATAATACTTTCCTCCTTTCTATATGTTGTTTCACCCATTGTACGGCAGTAATGTTGTATTTTGAATGCTCTGATGCAGGTTGTTGCCTCTGATGATGCCTGTCTAAAATACACTCAGGTGTYTGCAGGTTACTTGCAAGCTCTGATAGACTTCATTTCGCCAACTGCTTGCCTTATTTTTTTGAAGTTGTGTTGCAAGTAAAATAATCCCCAACTTTTTTTGGGAGGTGTGAGAAATTGTCACTAGTTGACATCATGATGGATGTGAAGTGTTTTCAGCACTTTYGACTGCAAGGCAATACCATGGAGTTTAAGATTGGTTGATTGAATCAGGCCAAAGCAYTTCATGTGACTTTAGTTAGTTATTGACAAGCGTGTTGAAATTCAGAAATTGAATAGAAGACTTTCATAGTAGATGTCCATATCTGTTAGTGATAAATAGCTGGAGTGAATTTCATTTGCTTGTAGCAAGGTTTCCCTTTGCTTGAGTCAGCACGAGAGGTTGCAGTTTTGAGATGTGGTCCAAGTTCAATACTGTGACAGGCTATGTGAAGATGTTTTGTCTTACCTTTCTTATCATCTACAGCTGTGTTATCAGCTGTTTTGTTCCAGCATCTTTCTTTGGAAATCCTTATTTGCATCTTATTTGCATCTTTTCTTACTTTGAAGTATGCTTAAAATTGTGGAGTAAAAGCTGCTCATGAAGCATAGTTACTAGTGCTAAAGCATCCACTTGCTTATGGATTACTTCTAAGTAACTTCTGGGGTGTTGACCTGTGKAGCTGAATAGGTGCTTGTAAGCTCAAGAGAATGCTTGAAATCTGTAATCATCCTWCATATCTGCTCACTCACCTTTCCAGTGGCATGGGCAGGTGAATTGGCCATGGSYTGAGATAAGAACAATTCAAAAATCGAGGTAAAGAAAGAAACGATAATAATAGGAAAAAGAGAAGAATAAGCCCTAAAAGCCAAGTGATGCCCAATACAATTGCTCAGCACYTGCTGACCCATGCCCAGCCTGTCCCCCAGCTGCAATTGGTCCCTCCTGGCTAGCTTCTCCACTTTGTAGACTGAACACAACATTCTGTGGTGTTCTCTGTCTGGTTTGGGTCAGCTGTCCTGGCCATGCTCCCCTCCAGCTTCTTGTATGGCTGACTAGTGGAGCCTAGGACACTGAAAAGTCCTTGACTTATAGTATACATGGCTTTGGCACTAGACATGTTACCAACATTACCCTCACTCTAAATCCAAAAGACAACACTGTAACACCTACTGAGAAGAAAATTAACTTCCCGCTGAAACCCGGACAGCAGGAAATCCTGTTCAAAGGAAAGAATACCAAGATTGTGTTTCTATGGAACCTTTCTGGTTGGGTATAAAGCCTTCCAAACAGTGTTCCTGTTGGTCTTATTTCCATGGGACAGTGGAGATATGGAAATCTCTGTTCCCATGGTTTTAGTGTTAACTTTGAAAGCTGGTGTGTTTTCCTCTGACTGGAGCTGTGTTGATGTGTTGGTTCAGTGTGATGACCTTGAAGATGGATATGAAAGCTTATTTTGTGATTATTAGCAGTGTGGACAGCTATGTATTTTATGTGGGAAGTACCTATGTATCTATTCTTGGAAGGCTGAAAATATGAGTAAACATCTTCTCTTTGGTCACTTGCTGGCCTTTTTATGTAGTGGTGAAAACAGGTTGTATGCAAAAAAACAGGGTTTTGTGCAAACCRAAATATGTTGAYAAAACTACTTTCTGAGGTCTCTTTRCTGAACATCCTAGAGGAGCAACAAATCCCAGCAACTGTTTCTCCAGGTCTTTGCTGTTAACATTGTGGTGGATGTGACTCATCTATGTTTGAACTAATTGCTAGATTTTGAAGCTAGGTTACCAGTTTGAGCATGAAGTGGGGATATGGCATTTATGTTGACAGACAATGTAATGATTTTTATTAGCTTCTTAAGTTTTCCTCATTATCTATCTTTCACTTTTGAGGCATGTAATGAATGGCCTCCAAATGGGAGCTGCTTATAAGAGATAGCAGTTAAGAGGCTAGAAACTAAACATGTCTCTTCAGATGGTACTGAAGTGGTAGCTGGGTTCATGATTTTAGTATACAGCTGGGAATGTGGCATGGTACAGTTGTGTYAGAAGACTCTGGATTAGCAGCAGTTGCACCTACTGGAAGTTAGYCAGAATCTGGAAGCTTTTTTCTGTCTCAAATATCTTCTGCAATGAGATTGTGTGCATGGGGGAGACTTACCTTGTTCGTAATATTGTCCATGTCTTAGCAGCTGTGGCTACCCCATCCCTGGAAATGTTCAAGATCAGGTTGGACAGGKCTTGGAACACGGTGTCCCTGCCCATGGCAGGAGGATTGGAATGAGATGAACTTTAAAGGCCCTTCTAACTCAAACTGTTCTGTGATTCTATGATAATCCTCATCTGGTCATATTTACATATAGGCAGTATTTAGTTGTCGTAAAAAGACCAGTCAGTGTGTTGAATAAGGACTTCCATGAGCTGTTGACTGTGTCGTAGGCTGGTTCATTGGGCCATCATGCTCTCTGTCATGTCTGTGTACTGCAATATGTTTTAGACCATAGTGATCTGCAGCTTGGGGCYGGCTGGCTGCTGCATGGCTGCCTCTGGCAGACAGTAAATAACTCATTCCTAGTCTGCTGTCAGYCAGACTGTAGTGTTGTACCCATTTGACTGGATTTGTTTAAAATGTAGTTAAGATTCTAATTTATTTAAAGGTCTCGCTTTTTTTTTAAGTGTTGGTATAACCCTGCTAACTTCTGTGTTTCATTGCAGAACTACCCATGAGTTTTTGTTTGGKGCCCTTGCTGAACTTGTAGATAATGCCAGGTATGTACCTGTGACCACCTAATTCCTAGGGTAACTTTGGTTAAGATTTAATTTAATTCACCTATGTATTAGTTGATCCTAAGCAATTTTTGCTTCTAGTAGACTTTACAAGAAATACAAAATAGAAGACATTGCTGCCATTTAGTATGAATATTTCACTTGCTCCTCTTACTCTGCCACATCAAACCTGTAAAAAAAATATTCCTGGAAAGACAGATTTGAATGAATCCTGGAACAACTCATATTGGAAAGAGAATTGATAGAAGACACAAGATAGATTTAAAGAAAAAAAAGGTCTGCCTTTTTGTGCAAAGAAATTGGTAAAATAAATGTTACAGGAGCTGTGACTCTTGTATCTAAATAATCACAGTATCAAACATGACAACAAAAATCAAATCAGAAGAGGCATGTTGAAAAATCGAGCAAGAACAGCTAAAGGAATTTTGACACTTGAGGAGACATGGTCTTTGGAAATTGCAGGTGTTGGGCCACCTGTTGCATGTGTGTGCAGTGAATCCATGCTACAGCAACCTCCCAAGCCTTGTGTGCTTTTCTGTTGAGCTGCAGAAAGTAGTTGTGAAACGTTATGGAAGCATTTTAGATTGTTTTCCCTCAAATATGATTTGTCACAGCATGCAGTTCGTGATGTAAGGAGCTGAAACCTGGGGCATTTTGAGCAGGGAAACCTCTGTTTAGGGAATCAGCTGTATGTGTGTGAACTGGTGCTGTGTGAGCTGGTGCTACAAGGTAATAAAAAGTAGGATCTTTAGGGTGGTTTTCCCTTAGCCTCTTGGTTCCCCTCTGACTATAGAGACGTTGTCTTCTGGGAAAAAAGTGGCTCGGCTGGAGGTACAAAATTAAAACAATTTGTGGTTTTGTTGAGCCATGCTTTGTTAGAGCACTGCAGCTCCACTCCTCTACTCAGTGAACTCAGCAAAGGTTGGTTTGAGAAGAGGGCAGTAGTGCTGTATGTGCTGTATTTTCAAATACAGAGGAGGATGCAGTGTGTGAAGGGCTTCGCTTTGGTGATTTTTTAATGACACAGTTTCCTGTAACAATCTTGAACGTCTTGAAATGGAGCTTTATGTGGAGTTACTGAACCTTTTGTAGGTATGTTGACTACCTACATAACTGAAGTTTTTTTTTAAAGAAAARCTTTAGGTGTTGTTTGTTTCATACAAGAGGGAGCTCAGAAGTGTGTTCTCATTTGATTCCCAGCCCCAGAATGACTTTGTTTGTTAGGATGCCAGTGATACTTCCTGTCACCAGATCTGTTTGTGTGCCAGCGAAGTCTTATGCTGAAGTTTTGGTTCAAGTAGAGAAAAAATAGGACAATGTTTTCTGTCAATGATGACTTGTCAATGACAAGTGGGGCCTCTGTGGGCTTTGATCTGTGCAGCCAGTTATTTTGGAAATGATTCTATGTGCCTGGATTTTTAGCTTCRTTTCTGTTTAACATTTGAATAACAATTGTGCCTTTATTTCTTCCTAGAGATGCAGATGCCACGAGAATAGACATTTATACTGGTAAGTCACTCCTGCTGCTTCCTTGCATGTCAGCAATTAAGTCAGTAGTTAACTTGGATTGAGGCTGCAAATGTGCATTTTCCTTGATAGAATAAGCATGAGGGTTCTTATGCCTAATCCTGGGGTTACTACGGAGTCCCTTCAGGCACGAAAGATATTGAGGGGCTGGAGCATGTTTAGAGAAGGGWAAGGGAGCTGGGGAAGGGGCTGAAGCACCAGTCTGATGAAAAGTGGCTGAAGGAGCTGTAGGGCTCAGCCTGGAGRAAAGGACAYTTGGAGGCCTTCTTGCTCTACAATTTCCTGACAGGAGGGTGCGGCCGGGTGGAGGTTGGGCTCTTCTCCCAGGGAGCAAGTGATAGGAGCACCAGGAGAAGTTTAGATTGGATATTAGGGAAAATTTCTTCACTGGAAGTGTGGTCAGACTCTGGAGCAGGCTGCCCAGGGCAGTGGGGGCATCATTATCTACCTATATTTGAAATGTGTGTAGATCTGGTGTTTGGGGACATGATTTTGTGAACTTAACTGTGTTAGGTTTGTGGTTGGATTTGATAATCTTAAGGGTCTTTTCCAATCTGAATAATTCTATTTTTCTGCCATTTCTTCTGAGCCATGATGCCTGTTGTCTTTCAAAAAGGAGTACCTTTAGAAATACTTTAGGGAAGCAATTAAGTCAGCCTTCACCTGAGGTCAGRTGAAGTAAGTTGCTGTTTGTACTGGGTGCTTAAAAACTCCACTGTTACAGTGTTGTTTTGTAGTGAATACTTAGGTACAGTATAAAGTGAAGAAGTTCTGAGTAATTTTGTWACAAAAATCTGGTGCTCTTTGTTACAGCGTAGCCATATTGCAGGTGTACAAGTCCCATTTGTTGTGTTTTATTAACACYGATCCCATTTTATGGAACTTTTAACTTTTGCTTGTGGGAGCAGTGAATAACTTGTCTCTTTGTAGAGCAACGGGATGACCTACGAGGTGGATTCATGCTATGTTTTTTGGATGATGGAACAGGAATGGATTCAAGTAAGTGATAGAAAGTTGCACTTGCATTTGCAAGCTGAGGTTTCATGTTATGGTTTAAGTTGAATTAACAGCTTAGTTCTGTTGAAAAGGGTATGTTCCATGCCTGCATACATGTTCTTGCCTCTCCACTCGCTCTTTCACACCATATTGAATATCAAACTATTTACCTCTTCCATTGCAGAAGACTAATTGGGTCAAAAGAAAATTTTTTTGCTGCATTATCAAGTTTGGTCAGCCTGGCCTGAAGTTTCCCAGTAGACTGAAGTTGGCCTTGGGGCTGAAGGGAGAATAGTGGAGCCAGAAGGGAAACAAGCACAAGGTTTGATGGCATAAGCCTTTTCCCCATCTGGCTGCCAGTGTATCTCAGCTCTAACCAGAAGGTATGCCATGGCAGAAATAAAAGGCTCAGCTTTGAAAGCACTTTGACATTGTTTCATCATTGACATTGTGGCTGAGATCAATASTGGACAATATAAAATCTTAGTAATATGAGAAGATTATAACAAATGTATTTCTTCCTTGTAAGTATTAATCCAAATTGGTGGTGTATCTAGCAGGAGAAAGCTAAAAGCTTTTCTGCTTTGCTTTAGTACAATGAACAGCATTGTAAACCCACCTTCTTTGAGTCTTGAGGACTGTTAAATCATCCTGTGAAGAGCTCTCTATGGGGCAGAAAAGTTGGGTGAAATTGGGAGGTGAATTTGGAGAAGACAAAGGAAATGGATAAATACACAACGACTAAAATTTTTGCACTGATTCCTCTGTACTTTAAGTTTCTCTTGTGATACTGTCATAGTTTAACCCCAGCTGGCAGCTCAGCACCACACAGCTGCTTACTGTTCCTCCACTGGGATGGTGGAGAGAATCAGAAAGGTAAAAAGTGAGGAAACTTTTTGTGGGTTGAGATAACAACAGTTTAATAGAAAAAGCAAAAGCCATGTGCACAAGCGCAGCAAACCAAGGAATTCATTCACCAGTTACCATGGGCAGGCAAGTGTTCAGCCATTCCCAGGAGAACAGGTCTTCATCATGCGAAACAGTGGTTTGGAAAGGTGAATGCTATGAGGGCACATGTGCCACTCTTCCTCCTGCTTCTCCACCTTTATGTGGTGAAGCACTTCACCAAGTTGCATGAGGCTTGGAGCATCCTGGTCTAGTGGAAGGTGTCCCTGCCTGTGGCAGGGGGTGGACTAAGATGGTCTTTAAAGTCCCTTCTAATCCAWACCATTCTGGAATTTTATGATATCGTCGGGAATATCCCTTGGGTCAGWTGGGGTCAGCCATTCCAGACTTGTTCCCTCCCAACTCCTTGTGCAACCCAGCCCCCTYGCTGTTGGGGTGTGTGAGGAGCAGAAAAGGCCTTGATGCTGTGTAAGCTGTGCTCAGCACTAATGAAAGCATCCCTGTATTAAMAATGATCTTTTCTAAAACACAGCCCATGCAACTTAGTATGGAGGGATAGAACTCTCCCCCAGCCCAAACCAGTACTGATGTAAAGCATTTAATTCAATTTATTCATGCTTTGATACACAGGTTTGTGACCTCCATAAAGGAATTTGGTTTGAACTCTAGGTACCTTACGTATTTTCTTTGGAACACAAGGATGCTAAACAGGTATCCCAAGAGTACTTTTCTGCCACCGGTGGAATTGAAGGAAGCAATAAAGCCCCATCCATAAAAATGGCTCAGCTATTGAAGTGTGGCCTTCTSGTTATCCCTTAGGATCAGGGAGAGAAAATACAACCTTCTCTGCCTATCTTGAAAACTRTGTGTTTCTCTGGAAGGGGCCAGATGTTATTCTAATGCCACAGATTTTCATGRCAGTTTTTACATTATTATTGCATCCATATTGCTGTTTTTGTGATAAAATGGATTTAAGTATTGGCTATTGTCTTGGTTTAAGACAATTTAAGGGGTATACTCTGAAATGAGTATYCCCTTAGTTTTAACCAATCCCTTTCCACASGAAATGAATGTGAATAAATATAAGTGAAAAAGTAACAGTTTACTAACAAGCAAAACATTAACAGGGACAAAATAACAGTACGTAATCAGTAGATACAAAATTGCTAATTCTCACTGACTCCCTGGGAACAAAGAGAAACTCAAAATGACAGTGATCCTTTCCCCAGGATGGCGCTTGCCCTGGGTGACCATGTGGGAGCGAAAGGGAGAATGGTGGCAGCCTTCCCCCATATCTCTCCAGCGGCAGCAGCTCCATTGACTTCATTGGCATATGTGGCTGGCGTGTTCCAGTGGCTGCTACTTGGTCAAGGGCTAGAACCTGTGGAAGGACTTTGTCTTCCTCTGGGCAGAGGATGGCAAGGCAGGCAGAWAAGGCATCTCAAACTGGCCCTTCTGGCGTGGGCCAGGTGCTGCTGCCATTTGCACAGAGGTGGGCCTCTGCACCCCTCTCAGCGCCACACTGCTGCAGACAGGTGTTGCTAAACTCACTCTGAAACAGTTTTTGATTGTGAAATGCAACTTTCTCGAGGTGCTACTGTTGCAAGCACAGAAAACCTACCGGAAGCAACTCCCTCTGGCGGTCCGACAGAAACAGGAAAAAAGGAAAACGAAACAGAGCCTCTGTCTTAAGCAAAAGCTATGAGGGGAGAGAGAAAGCTCTGCCTGAGGGCCTCAACTTGAAAGAGCCAGGCACTCACCTGCCTCCACCCCCAGCCCTCCCGTTCTGGTTCTGGGTTTTAAAGAGACTAAAATCTTTGGGCACAGATGGAGATGGAATACAACAATATTTGGGTTACCCAGGACATCTATTAAGTTGTTTCTTTTGACTAATCTTTCAGCTAAATGTTGATGAATTTTACCGTGATAGCCTGACATGATCAGTAAAGAAGATTTGCAGATATTGTGTGTTGCAGGGGTCCTTCACAGCACTATGCATTGTGTATAGCAAATACCATGTAATTCATGTCTTTTAACTGTCCTCATGCTTGACCAAGGGCAGCCAGATGGAAGCTCTGTGTGCTGCACCCTTTGCCTGTCAGCATGGACAGGAACAGCTAAGGAGAGTCTTCTATTCAAATTCCTTACCTGGGGCTCTCTGGTTCTATCCCTGGGATCCCCTAGGGATCTGAGCTTTAATTTCTCATAATGAAGTCTCTACCAGTTTTAACAACATCCTGAAGGTTTCCTATCTGACTTTTAACAGCTGTCTACAGAAAAYCTTTTATTAGACTTTCCTCCCTTTATGCAAACCTTGCCTCAACAGAAATCATGGATCTTGAGAGTGTTTTATTTTTGTGCATTTATTAATTAAGAATTATTTTTATTTTACATAAAGCTGACATGTTAAAAAGAATRACTTCATGACTTGCTGTAGTGCCGTTGGAGCCCATGCTAACATGGGATCTCCCCAAGTCAACTGAAAGTACTGCTTGGAAGGCTGGATGAGGCATCATCTGGGGGATGATGARTGAATGAACCTAGGTGCGTCCAGACACTTGTAAACAGAAGGAGGAGCTGAAGGGCTCAAATTAACTGTTCCACTCACACATTCTCTATGTTACTCTGTCTTGTTGCTGTTCTCATTGGTCTTGTTCTGTCGTGGACAATTCTAGAGTTGTCTTGCAGGCTCTGAAAATAGAAGGGTATTGTGAGGCAGTCGGTCAGATTTGAGTCCTCTGTGTGATGGCTTCTGATTAGCAAGCCAAATAACTCCTCATTTCTAAAAATTAGGTGTGTTTGTCAAGTGATTCCTGCTGCAGTTGCATTCAGTACTCACTGCATTGGCTCTCTTAATGATCACTCTGGGTTGTGTGGTCTGAATATCAAAATACATTTGTATTCAAGCTGCAAACATCGCACACTGTAGAGTCATGAGTTATCAAAAGGTCTAAGGATTCAGTGATGCCACAGGACAGCTCTTTTCAAAAGAACAATCAGGTCATGCAGAGAGGTATCAGAATTATAGAATCTGAGTTGGAAGTGATCCACAAGTATCATCGAGTCTGGTTCCTTGCCCTACCTTGCCCTGAAATCCCACCCTCTGCCTGAGAGAGTTGTCCAAATGCTCCTGGAGCTCTGTCAGGCTGGGGACCACGACCATTGCCCTGGGGAGCCTATTCCAGTTCCCGTCCACCCTTTTGGTGAAGAACCTTTTTCTAATTTTCAACATTAGAAAATATATTAGTTTCCAATAAACACTGTCTGCCCCCAACAGAGAATAATAGTACTGGCCCAAAGGTTTGGCTTTTTTGTAAGGAATTAAGAGTCCATTAGAAAACCAAACAACAGATCTCAGCACACCAGATTTCTCATGCTATCAGTAAAATCACTACTGGGAATACTCAAGCTTGAAATTATACCTACTGCCTGGCTCTGAAAGTGCTGTATGAATTTCATGAATCAAAATACAGGTTGTGCGATTCAATAAATCAACTTGCAGGTTGAAAAAGTATAACAACTAGTTTAGGAAGTGACCTGTAGTTTATTCTTAAACAATTGAAGAAAATAAGTCTCTACCTGGCGTTTTCATCACAGAACTGCTCAGCTTGGRAAGTACCTTAGAGATCATTTGTTCCAGCCTTTCATGTGAAAAGGAAGAGATGATTTAGCACCCTGTCTCTCCAGTGATGGGGACTCCACCACATACCTCAGGAATAGTTCCAGTGATTGATTAAATGATTAAATGATCGTTAAAAAAATTCTTRTTTTAAGAAGAAACCTCTCCCAGTGCAACTTGTATCTATTTCCTCTTTYTCATGTGGCTCCTAGGGAAGGGAGAGCCTCTGTCTTCTTTGTAGCTACCCTTGRAGTACTGTAATACTATGATGAGATACACCCTGGGCCCTCTGTTCTTGAGGAAGGAGACCTAGTTCTCCTTATAGGGCCAACTCTGTAACCCTCTGATCATCTTGTTTGAGCCCTGTCCAGTCTGTCTGCACCTTTATTGAACTGAGGAGACAGAACTGGACACAGTACTGCAGGTGGGGCCCAACAAACATGGAGTTGAGTGGGATAWTCACATTCCATCTCTTTGGCAATTTCCCTGTGGACACAGTCCAGGATGCTGTTTGCCTCAGATGCTGCTGTGGGACACTGCTGGATCATATTCAGCTTGTTGTCCACCAGGACCCTTTCAGAAGGCTGCTTCTCTCACTGTGGATTCCAGTCTGTGCTGGACTCTTGGGTTATTTAATGCCAGGTGCARAACTTTACACTTCCTTTGAACTTCAGACACAGCTTGCTTGCCCACTGTTCCAGCCTGTCCAGGTGTCTTAAGAAGGCACTCTTGATGTGCCCAATTCATCCCCATCAACAAAGCTGGTGAGGGTGCAAAATCACCCATCATCCAGATCCTGTATGGAGGTGTTGAGCAATGTGGGACACAGCATCAGTCCCCAGGCTCTCTGCTTGTGACAGGCTGCCAGCCAGAGTGAAAACTATTGATGATCGCCTTCTGAGCATGACCCATGAGCCAGTTCCCTACTTGTTTTGTATCCCACCTGCCCAGTCTGTGTCTTCCCAGTTAGTTCAGGAGCAGGCTGTGCGAATCTGTGCAACACTTTGCTGAAGTCCAGCTAAATAACACCTACTATTCTCTCCATATGGACAGAAAGTGCAGCCCTGTAGAAGGTGACCATATCAGTCAGGTGTGACTTGCCTTGGTAAATCTCTGCAGATTTAGCTCAGTCTCCGTCCTCATCTGGCTTGTAATACTTTTAAAGAGGACTCATTCCATTACTTTTTGAGGGACTGAAGCAAGTATATCAGTTCTTGCTTTTTTCAACTGTATTTTTGAAGTTTGGAAGCTCAAAACAGGTTTTGTTTTAATGGAAGCAGTTAWTTAAGTGCTAGTGTCTTGGTTGCTTTATTAGATCTTGTGTTTTAAAAATACTGTTTATCCAAGGCAAGGAACACTGTTTCACTGGAACTCCAGCTCCTACTTTAGAATGTGTACACACACTTCTGCGTGTGGACAGTGACTCTTGGGGGAGTGGTCTACACAATTCTCAGGATAAAATGTCTCTTTAACCTTATTTAAGGTTAAATGCTACTCCTAAACATTGATATTTCCTCTAAAGTTAACAGATTTTTWAAATAAATTGCAGGAACATACATTGAAGTGATTTGTCCAACACTGGCTGTTTCCAGTCTTTGTCTCATGTGGGCTTGTGTGTTTCTTACAGTGTTTCTTACAGTGATGAAGGACCTCACAGCTTCTCCCTTGTTCCCCTATCCCAGGGAAAGCTCAATTTTGCATTATGCTTATTTCTCCCAGGTAGCGAATTAAATTCTTTAGCTCTGGGATATCTTTTGAGGATGCTGTTGAGTCCATTGAGTATAGCAGATGAATTTGTGGAGAAGGCAGGAAGTATCATTTTCTGTTTGGATTGGGACCTTCTTTGTGCATTTTCAGCTGAAGAACCTGGAGAACAGGAAGACTGCTCAATGATGATGCCAGGTCTGGCTTCAGGAACTCTCAGGATCTAAATAGCTCCATCCACCAGTTTCTTCATCCCAGGCATCCAGTGTTTCTTATGAAGAACTTTTTACATGTACCCTTGAGTTCTTGGGCTTTGAAGATGTAAACACTTAAGATGGCCATCTTGACCATCTTAAGTGAATTTCTTCAGCTTGTTTTTTCTCGTTTGTTTTGCACAGATCGCCTTCCCCCCTTTTTCCTGCCGGGTGGTTTGGCTTTTTTTAATCTGATAACTCTGAGACACAACAAAACAAAAACAGTGTGACTAAGCCTTAAGTGAAACACCCTCCAGAGCTTTAAAAGAGCGAAGAAATAAATCAATTGGTCTTGATTCTTCAGAGGATATAAGTATTAAATCTCTTGCAAAGACAGCCTGGAGTAGAGGTGCTCCTTCACAGTCTCCTATGCTCAGCATCAGCTTCATCCCTCTGCCCTGAAAGAAGAGTCATTATAGGGTGTTTTCAGACATCCAGCATTGAGTGATAAACCATCTGGTCACCTTTCCTGAGAGGGGAAATGCTTTGGCTAGTTAGTCTTTATCCTCTTTAGGTTTTCTAAAGGTTTCTTAAAAATAGTTACTGAAAAATGTTTGTAGAGCAAAAAGGCTCCAGTAGTCCTTCTCTTTTTAGAATATCCCCTATCCGCTTTCCCCACCAGGCTTTAAAAATAGCACAGTAACAGTAGTTAGAATAATAATAAAAATAATACCATCATCATCATCAACATCTTTACACAGATCTCAAATATATGACATTCCAGTGTTTTCTTTCTTTGGCTAGAAAATACTACAGTAGGCTAAAGCAAAGGCAGAAGCAAAGGTACCCTTACCAAGTCCARAGCTGTTTCTGGAATAGCTGTGGAGTTCCATTAAGAACAGCCGCAGCTGACGGCTATTGCACAGTTGTTCTCTTGTGTTTGTGTCTTTAAWTATGATTATCATTTCAACTGACAATGGCATTCTAACACCGGCTCAGTGAGGTATCTCAGACCAGTGGTGTTAGTATTGAATATTTTACTGATCTGTACTAGTAGGTATGTGTGACTCTCCTGCATGCTGAAATCTAACTTCTCCATGGGCGCAGCTGCCCTGTAGCTGCCTAGTGGGGTGAGTGATGTCTTGTGCTCCCTTACAGCTTGTGTATGCATTTGTTTTTAGCCCTCATGGTAAGGCACTTTGTGATCTTTGTGTCTGGAATTAAACTTCATTTCTTCCAATAAAATCTTTGGTGAAATGATTGCTACCTCTTGGGGGTAGGGAAAGGAATCATTATGTCCTAAGGATGATGTTTATCCCTTGAACAATAGAAAGGCTGCTGCTAAAAATAGCCATCTCAGCTGTAAAGCCATTAYGTCCTGTTATTTTGTCCTCTGCCAATGAAATACTCTGCAAATTGCTGTAGAACCTGCTTGTGTTGCCTTTCCCCCCAGTTGTCCTGCTGCCAYGGCTCCTGCAATCTACTGCCCGTTAGGTTGTGTCTTACTAGTGCTTTGATTAACCAGAGTGTTCAGTTCATCACTGTGAAGTAACTGATGTGTTTATTCTGGATTCCTGACCTTTTACATAGTTCTGATTTATGCTATAGTGCCAGTGCTCTCAAGTGTGTGGTGTCTGTGGGACATGGGGTGCAACAGAGCCACTGCATCCCAAGTCTTAGTTTATCAGGATTGACAACTGTGGTGAATACAATAGATAATTTTTGGTTTTGTTTTTGGTTTTTTTTTGCAAAAAGAAACATCTTCATGCAGTTTAGGTGGGACAGTGAACTAGACTGAAACTTAAAACTCTTTTTGTCAGCATCATGGCACCTGTACAAGGCTTTTGGTAATATCAGTGTCCTCAAGCWGCATGTATCTCACAGGACTCTGTGGTACAGCTTCAGGATGGAACTTCAGCTTGGGCTTCTGGCCTCTTTTCTGSTCTATTTCCAGTGGTGAAGGAGTTCTCTTCCGTCTTTACATAATAAAAGATGTGTGTGTGTCTGCATGTTGCAATAAGCCGTTTTTGTTCCCTGTCTCTTGTTGCAGATGAAGCTGCCAGTGTTATCCAGTTTGGTAAATCAGCCAAGCGATCACCTGAGTCCACTCAAATCGGGCAGTATGGGAACGGCTTGAAATCGTAGGTATAACAAGATCCAGCCTCCTGAGGTTGGGGAGGTTATAGTCCAGGTGATCAATATACTTTTTGCTCAGAAATGTATCGCTTTTTTTCCCAGGAAAAAAAAAAAGTAGATGAACTCTCAAGGTCCCCTGGTTTGGTAGACAGGAGCTCTGTCAACATCTGCTGTGGTTTTCCAGTGGGCAAGAAGGCTCTGTACAGCTGATGACAGTGGTTTGGCATTATGTTTGCATAAGGCAGAGGGTACAGGTCAGAGCTCAGGGAAAATAATGGAGGAGCTGGAAACAAAATGGTAATTTCCCTATGACAGTCAGGTAGTAAAATTAGAGCAAAATAGTGCTACAGCCTCTCAGTARGAAAGTTGTCTGGTGCAACACAGATGGACTTAAACCTTTTTTCTTTTGTTCTTAAACCAAACAAATGTGGGGAGAAGGGGAATGAGGAAAGGAATGAGAGGAGGAGTGGGATTARGTGCAGAGGAGAACTAGTGGGAAGGGAATCTTACCAGTTGGAGTGGATTTGCTAGGGAAGAAGAAGAAGTTTGCTGTATCTTTGGAGAAGTTGCAGAATGTTGTGGCCTTACTCTGACTGTTCTGCTTTGTGCTCACCAATGTGGCTTGATCATGTGCATCCTACTGGGAAGTAAGTGGGACTCTATATCTGGGGGAAAAAATCCAAGATTAGGGGATTTTGAGACACTGTCAATTCAGCTGCAGTGCAGGACAGATCTCAGATCCTAACTGTGTACTTCCAGGACAGATCTCTGTCCTTTCTTACCTTGAGTGAGAGGTATACTGTGTTACAGCTGAGAAAGGCTGCCTGAAGCCCCAGCATGCAAAAGGTAGATTGTGGTATTGCTGTGGTATGGCCTTACAGCAGTCTGAAGACAAWTGTGCTGACATAACATTAATACTTTTTTGGATGCAGTGTTGTTATCTATTAAGGTGTTTTGGATGAGTTTTGTAACAGGATAACTTGGCAGAGAAGATGGAGAAGATACAAAGCCACTGTTTGGGATAGGAGAGTGGGGAGGAAGAAGGGACTAAACCTTTTTGTGACAATAAGCTGCTATGTGCCTTAGATGAAGTGTCAGTGAGACTTTAGGTTAGGAAATTAATTTTCTGTCTCCAGACTGCTGCAGTTGATTCTAGGTACAGTGAAATGAGGAGTGCACTTACTTTCATACTGACATTTCTGCTCAGAGAATTGAAGGTTTATGTCACATCTCACCTCAGTTGTCTTTTCAATTTTTTCAAAAATTTTTAACTTGCTGCATAGTATGAGTCTGCAATGCTGTCCTGTATTTCTGCACCTTTTAATTGTGACTGTTTTTAAGTGTTTTGAAACATTGTGAAAATGCCTAGATTGATATGCRTTTGGAAAGGAATGAGATGTTTAGAGAGAAATGGTAGTTGCTGTTTCAGCCCTTCTGGCTAACCTGATTTTGGCATCTCATGACTGAACATAACAGGAAGAAAGCTCTGCAATGTGGTTTGTGTTCTGAGCAGTGTGATACATCAGTGTAACACACCATCTGACCTCTGTCTACAGGGGTTCCATGCGGATTGGGAAGGATTTTATCCTGTTCACAAAGAAAGATAACACCATGACTTGCCTTCTCTTGTCACGGACGTTCCATGAGGAAGAAGGCATTGATGAGGTTTGTATGTGCTTGTTCTAGTGAACTAAAATAGTGAATGCTGCCTCATCTGAACTTGCCCACTGCTCACAGAAGAATGTGTCAGGGCTGGTTGCTACTCTGGTGGGATCAGTGTATGGTTTTCTTTTGGAAGTACGTTTTAGGGCTTCTGCAAAGTCAACAATTTTTTTTTCCTTTTGGTTTTAGTCCTACTTGAGAAGTCTCTAAAGTAGAGCAAATTTGAATGGCTTGGTTTAGTCTCTTAAAGGTGCTTGTGCTGAGTTCAGGACATGCCCAGACCTCTTGCGTTGTCCTTTTTCCACAAAATTTGAATTTGAGATGTATTTAATTTTACTGCAGTGATCTGATTTTGTGTGGAGAATTAAAGGTATTGAAGTTGCTACCCACAGGTCATTAACTGCAGGCATGTATCTTCTTTCAGATATTTTTGATTTTTAATAAAATGTCAGTGTAGTTCTASCTGTGAAAAGCTTGTGTATTTTAATAGATAACTCAGGCATTGTTGTTCCAGGCAAGGTTTGATAATGGAAAGTTTTACATTTGCACTGGGGTGGTATCTCAGAAAGCATCTTCCAGGAGAAGGAGGGATTGAAGGCATCTGTGCAGAGAAGCTGGGGAGGGGCAGTGCATGCTGGCAGCCAGCCCATGACTGAAGCAGGTTGGGAACAGTGAAGTAATTCTAATTCCCACAGCAGCTCTGGCTACTTCTTTCGCTTGACCACAGTTCTGGGATGGGATTTGTGTCCTTGAGGTGCAGCTGCACCTGTGTTTTTGCTCTAAATGACAGAAACCATCTTGTTAGCATCCTATAAAAACAATAAAGAGTGAGGTCAGGATAAATACGAGTGAATGATATCTGAGTTCAAGAGAGAAATTAAGCCAGAGTGGTTTAGTGTTATGGAAGTTGTTTAATGGGAGAAGGAAAAAAGCCGTTGAGAGTGTGAGTAGAAAGTACCGTACAGCCAACTTGGGAATGGTTCAGTCTGAGATGGGTGTTGTAAAAAGGCAATTCAGAGGCTGGCAAAGAGGGTCTTTGAGCATTTGACAGACATGCAAACTACTGAAAAGCTAGAAAGGACTCTCATGGTGACTTAAGGGGCTGTCAGAGGGGGTAAGTCACTGGACTGTGACCCGCAGGAGGGGCTGACTGGAGTGGGAGAGCCAGAGTCACTCTCAKTATGCTGGGATTTGCAGGTCATCGTTCCCCTGCCCACATGGAACTCACGGAGCCGTGAACCTGTGACGGACAACATGGAAAAATTTGCTATTGAGACAGAGCTCATTTACAAGTATTCCCCTTTCAAATCAGAACGGGAAGTAATGGACCAGTTCAATAAGATACGTGGTGAGAAAGGTACATGTGGATGGTGCACGTCACAGGTAAGGTATTTGGGGTCTGGCTGGGATATACCTGGTCAACTTGTTACTTCCTCAGGCACCCTGGTGATCATCTTTAACCTCAAACTAATGGATAATGGAGAGCCAGAGCTGGATGTGACTTCTGACCCTCATGATATTCAGATGGCAGAAACACCTCCAGAGGGAACGTAAGTGTGACTGGTGTAACAGGCCCTGATCAAGTTGGATGTGAGGTTTGGCTATAATTTGTGTGTGTGGGTTTTTTTAAAGCTTTTCTTTCTGTACTGGATTAGAGAATTTAGAAGATCTGTAGTTTCTTCTTTAGCTGCTTGGGGTCCATGTATATGCCAGCCCATGGGTGTTGTGGCTGTGTTTGGGGTGAACACCTGTGCTGTCTGGTCTCAGCTTACTCAAAGCAGCAGACTCAGTGTCCTTTAAGCACCATGAAAGAAGGAGCCCAAAGCTATATATTTCATTTTATACACATATCAAAGATACTTTCATTGGAATGAGAGCTGGTTGTGAGTCAGTGCTGCTCCCAAACAGCTGTTCAGTTTTGTGATTAAGTGGCAAAATATGAGGTGCTGCACAGGTCAACCTCTGTGGGCAGATGGTACCAGGGACAGGTRTGGGTGTATCATCACATCTGTCTGGGAGCAAGGGGCACTCCTTGCTGCAGAGGGACAAGAAGGATGTGCTCAGAGGGCAGCTGGAGGAGCAGAGGGCCCTGTTCAGAGAGAGCTGAGTGTTTGCTGAAAAGGAAGAACTGAGCTGGAATGAGCCACATGCCAGAGCTCCATGGGCACACCTATGCTTACCTTCATGATGAGATTATGTKGTTCTTCCCTGAATTGCTTGAACTTCCCATAGGAAGTTTCAGACCCTGTAAAGCAGTTCTGTCTGTGTATTAGAGTGATGATATTGAGCAGACTCCTTGGKACCCTCTAAGGGATCTGAATGTCTTTAATGCCTGTTTGTAAGGCATGCATGATTGTCACTGAGCACTGCTTCTTCCTTCTGATTCTGTGCTACCATGTCTGCATGTGAGTAGTGCAGGTTCTGTGGCAGCATACTGCTGACTTACAAAGGGTGAAAAAGCTCTGGCAGGTGGACACATTTTCAGTATTAAATAGTCCAGTTTATAGCTTTGAGCATTATTATCCAGGTGTATTCAAACCCTCTTCAGGYTGCATTAACATGTATATCAGTGTTCTGCAACAGTAGTTATCATGTACAGCTCAACAGAGAGTCTAGAGAAGACAGAGGTAGAAAAAAATCTAAAGAAAAGCCTTGTTTAATGTAGCTTCATGGTAATTAGAATAGAAAGACCTTTTCTTTCACCTGTCTGTTTTGCTGAGGGTATCCCTTGGGCATCTTCTGAAGTAGATGGCTCTCTTGCAGCAAACCAGAGCGCCGCTCCTTCCGTGCCTATGCTGCTGTGCTTTATATTGATCCCAGGATGAGGATCTTCATCAATGGACACAAAGTACAAACCAAACGACTCTCATGCTGCCTCTATAAGCCAAGGTAAGTGTCGGACCCAAAATCTCTGCATGTGTGGGACCATTTGGAGATAAAGTTTAGTGTTTTGCTCTCCAGCTGTATCCTACATAATTCCATGTTAAAGCCACAGAAACCGACCATAACAGAATGGCATGTGGTGTTGACATCATGGGAAAAGAGATACGTAGTGGAAAATCGAATGCCTTTGAAAATTGTGTGAGTCATTGGTGCAATTTGGCTCCCTTTCAGAGCAAACAAATTAAGATCCTGGTTGTATGAAATAACCATARTCACACAAAACTGTTGGGTAACTGTTTTCTTTTGGAGCAGAAGAAGGAAATATATTTAGTGTGCGTTAGGAGTATTTCCAAAACGAAACTAGACCAAGCACTTTGAAACAGTTGCCTTTATGTGTAGCTAATCTATGTTTGAATAGAGATGGAGGAAAAGCTTTCCCTATATTCCTTTAAAATTTCCTTAAACAAAAAATGTGACAGTGGACTGGGGTGTGCTGTCAATTGGCTGAACAGAGACTGGAAAAGCTTACTGGGATGGGAGGGGAAAGGGGAACCTGTATTTAAGTCTGCTTGAGTCAGAGTTTCTCGGAGAACACGCAATCTGCATTCTGGATATCCTGGCATAATTTATTTGAATAAAATAGTAGTAATTTTGTAGAGTATTTGTGGATTTTTTAGTATAGCATTTTGGGCTCGCTCTCAGCCTACCAGTTGGTATTACAGCCCCAGGCTGGTGTCACGCCACTGATGGTGCCTGAAGGGCCTGGCTGTTTTTCAACTTGTACTTCCTCAGCTCCATATGTAAGACTGTGTGAAATGGTATCAGAAACCTGACTAAAACAACAGAATGTTGCACCCACTGGTCCCAATGCTGACCAGGCCTGTCAGTTCCCTGTGGAGGGCAAGGAGCTTGCCACTGTAAATCCTGATTTACTGGGTAGAGAATTTCTGGATTTCTGTATTTTTGGCTGTGTTTTACYGACACGTGAGCATCTTGTTCTGCTTTCTCTTGTGCTGCAGTCCAGCAAAAGTACTAGGGAGAGAAACCAGAGGAGGGCACAGTTTTTTATCTTATCAGAGACAAGCATCTAGTGAGACTCATAGACAGGATGCCATCGCTGTGGGTGATGCTGTCAGTGTCATGACAATAGTAGGTGTCCCAGGTCACCCCAGATGTTCATCTACCTCAGYGTCTTTTTTTTCAAGTGGTCAGTAGTCTATTCCAAGGTGCTCCTTGCTGATGGATTAGTACTTTTGGCAGATATATCTCACACATCTACTTGTCCACATCTGGGCAGACTACTGCAAATCTACTTATAGTAGGATAGGCCAGTACAAATTCCCCAACACTGTAAAGACATTTACATTTAAAATCCCCATTTCTGCAACGGYGTAGGAAAGACTGTGCAAGGCCTTCCTGCAGAGTACAGTGTAAATCATCTCAGACTTGTGGCAATTACTGTGGCCTTACTGGGCCTCTCTGTGGAATGCTGCTCTCTTCTGGCTGGAATTCCTGATGCCAGGTTTGGGCTCCAGAAGCTGCATGGCTCTCAGGACAAGCCATCAAAGCCTTCACTGTGGGGTAGATGGGGTAGGTGATGCACTGTGCCCTGGGCAGGCTAAGGAAACTCAGTCTTTTTCCAGGTGAGAGCTCAAATCTGCCCTGAGTGGCTCTTTCCCAAGGGAAAACAAGTAAATCAGTCCATTTTGAGAGTGGAGTTACTCTGCTTTTACAATTATAGGTGTGGGGATTTTTTACATTTTTCTCCCCAAACCCGCTGAAAAGGGTTGCTTATGCCYTGGTTTTTCCTTTAGAGCTGGAGCTAGAGCTCACCATCCCCATTAAACTACTAGGCTTTGAGTTCTCTGCAGGTTCATCCTGGGTTAATCCCTTGCACTTGTTCACAGGTACTGCTTTGTATGTGAGTGTCCAGGGGAAGGTAACTCCGTTTTGGTGCTCTTTTAGGGTCACCTGATGCAGCAGTGATGTTCAGCTCTTTAGCATGGCTGTGTTTCTGGCCCAGTAGCCTGGGTCACGTAAGTGTTCAACCTTCCTGGTTGGGCAAAGGGATAGGGAACAGGCAGTAGAGGTGCTGCTACCTTACAGCCAGGGTAGCTGGTGTGCTTGTGTGGGACATCTGAAGGGCTCTTTTCCTTTAGAGGGACTCCCTTCTGCTGTCAGTCAGGTTGCCTTCATCTTTGAAGGAAAAGCCTGTACAGTGGCTTGTCTGCAGGTTCCAGTGTTGGTGTTAGTGAACAGTGAATGGAAATACACTGTGGATTTAGGGTGTGTAAATGCCTTTACTGAAAAAAAGGTTTTGCAGCCCTTGCACTGTTTTTAACAGTACATCTGCTGAATAGGACACTTGTTTTCTGTTTGTCATCCACCCATGTTTCTGTGGGAGAGGCTTCTCACCTTTCGGAAGCCAATAACATCCTGGTGGCAGATGTGGGTTGGTTTTGTGCAGATCCTTCACCAGCACTTGTAGCTGTGTTACCACAYTCCCATCTTCTCTGGGAATGGTCCGTGTCTCCTGAAGGATTGGTTCTACCCCTTCCCTTCCCCAGAACCTGTTGGAGCTTGTTTAGCCATATGGGCTGGGCAGTTAGAAATAGCCAAGCCACATGCAAAGTGTGTGCCTCCATGAGGACACTCCAAGGCAGTTGGAATGAGTGTCTTGAAACTGGTGATGGCTCACAGGGCCATTATCTGGGACACCCCACGGTTGCTTGCAGTGCTCCCTACAGCAGAGTAATGCTGTCCCTRCAGTCCCCCCAGGTACTTCCCTGCCCCGTGAGCTGGGTGTGGGGGGCTAATTCAGCTTCGGTCTGCTTCTCTCTTTTTTTTCTTTTCCCCCTTAGAAGTCAAGCAGATGTGGGTGAAGTAATGTGGTTATGCCAGCATGTTGAAAGCAGCCTGGCTTTCAGACTGTGCTGTCTTCCAGCCYGAGATAGCTTTCATCAACCTTACATAGGTTAGAGATGGTGCCACCAAAATCCTGACTCTCTAGCTCCTGACATGGTGAAATCACCATATAGTTTCTGGAAGCATTAGCACCTACCTGCTTTTTCTCCAGGGAGGAAATCCTTATGGATAACAAAAAATGAGTTTAGCAAATWGTTTTTCAGGGAACTGTGCTTGTGGTATGAAAACTTTGGGAGCAAGGGATTCCTGTTGGTGAAACTATTTCTGATATCAGTACCAGCACCCATCTGTGCTCACCCACAGAAACAAACCTAAAAGAAACTTTTCATCAGTACAAGGTTGTTTCTCATGAATCCTGACAGTTTRTGCACCATTTGGAGGGAATTTTGTCTCACATTAGGATCTAAGTGTGATTGCAATCATTTGGTCAGTCAAGTGTTACATCCCTATGTGGTTTTGCCTCTCTGTAAAAACAGCATTTCTAGTGGCTCTTGCTTTAGCTAAATGCTGGAAAAGTTTATCCCATCCATTTGGGATGCGATTTTCCTCTCGATATTTCCAAACCCCCGTGTCTTAAGGTAATCTGAGTTTCTGCAGGATCTGCTTATCCTAGGTGTCATCTTTCCTCATGATGTGCTTGGAGGTGATACACACTCATGAGCTTCTGCCTCCCACATGCCCATCTCACTCTGCAGCAGTCAGTGAATTTGGATTTGTATTTGGCATATTAGGATACAGGGAAGGTGAAACAAGCTGCTGCCTTTCCAGCACTATTTACAAGGTTGTGAGTCAGATGTGGAGCACAGAGARCTGTGCTGAAACTTGAAGTTCTGGTCAAATTGTTGCTCTATTTTGAGCTAGCCCTGTATGAKATGGACCTGTCAAACTGCACCTGTGGATAGCTGTTCACAGGAAAGGTTATTTAGCTGTAGTGGGAGGGTTTTGAGAAACTTTCCATATATTTTCACTCCTCCTTTCCACTTCTGAAGAAATTATTTCTGTAAGTCTTGAGATTTGTTCCAAGAATACTGGTGTTTYGCCCCCACTGGTTTAACGTGTGCTGGGGGGTATCCAGGGGGTCTCGTCTCTCTGCGTGTACCACAAGTCTCCTGCCTTTGAGRTCGCCTTGGCYAGCACTTCCTGGTGCTATGTAGAGGACAACCCACGTCTGGGCTGATGGCTRACAAAACACCTTCCCCAGTGGACCAGAAGTCCTRTGTTACCAGAGATGAAGAAGCAGAGTGCTCAGCCGTGTGGTTTATTCCAGGACTTTATTCCCAAAGGGACCAGGGAGGAAAGAGGGAGTTGTGGAGTTACCGGCCCATTAATATATCCCTCAGGGCCCGTYACCTGAGGAGCTGGGTGGGGAGAGAAGGTGAAAGGGGAACATAACAACCAATAGGAGAAGGGATAGGCGGAGAGAGAGAGATCACATCAAATCCAACCAGGACATCAGGATTTACATGTTCGTGGCAAGAACCATTTCATTCCCAGGGGGGTTATCAAACTATTTCCACCATTATGTGCTGAATATCTCAGGACTGGCTAACCCTTTAGCATTTTCTGGGGTGGTTTCATCTACCACAACACTGGTTAATGCAGAAAAAGAGAGGATATCATGCTTGCAGCTACTATTAAAACATCTCTGACTTAAAAAGATTTTGCCTAGCTTCGTCCAAAAACGTCCAGTTCATGATTTGTAAACCTCCTCCATTTATTGTATCTGTTGGGAGGAATAAGTAGCATGTGGGGACCTCTCATGCAGTGATGTAATCTTGGTTTGACTTTACTGGTGCGTTTGCTGATTAATACATTTTGATCATCAAAGGATGTACAAATATACTTCAAACCGTTTCAAGACCCGTGCAGAGCAAGAGGTGAAGAAAGCAGAGCACATGGCAAAGATAGGTGAGTCCTCAGGGTATGCATGTGCCCTTATTCATCTGTTGCTAAGGGGAGGACCAAACTTTTGCTGGGTGTGATCTGGGATTGCTTGCTTCTGGGATCCTTTGAATTGCTCAGGAACTAAATTACTGCAGCAACTACAGATGACATAGATTTACTTCCATGMAATGGAAGGAATGTACATTGTTCCCAGAGACCATTTCAGGTGAGTAGCACATGTACAGGATACCCTTGGAGTCCCAGCTGTTCGCCCTCACTCCAGCAAAAGCCTGGCTGAACCTTGTCACSCTGCAGTTCTTCTCTTACCTTTAGCAATGAGCTTTTGATTGTGTTCTCATTCTGCACCTTTTCTGTTAAGGCAGCTAAAAACGTAGATTTTTATTCTGTCACTTAATGTAAAGAGATTGGTTTGGATGTACAAGGAAACCGTGGTTTGTTTGGTTTTAACCCTTCCAGGCATACCATTTGCCCACCTAATCTTCCTTTCTTGTTAGGTCCTGTAACCCTCAGGGAAAACTGAGTTTGTTATTATTGGATAKTCAGCATATAGGAGTCGCACACACATATAAATACAGCATTAAACTGTATCATAACTGCATTAAATCTCCAGAAATTTAACACACAAAGCAGTGTGCCTCCCTAACCCTTGATGGAAAAATGCTGTAGTGAAAGAAGAATCTTGGAAGTTGTAAGTGACCTATATGTGACCTGTATCTTCTGGTAGGTTTCATAAGTCAACTCCATAAATCATTTAGAGACGTGTCCTGTGTCCCTGTGTCAGAGCTGCTTCAGGCACGTCTGTGTGTGGCTGCAGGTCAGATGCACAAGAGATGGTGCCACATTCAGCCTGTGCAGCATCACAGAGGGCAGTGTGGCTGTGACTCTGCCCCAAAGCAAAGCAGCAGAATGAAATTWTGTGAATTTCCATGTTCCCTGTTCCTCCTTTAGGATGTACAGCCTGGCAAGATAGACTTGATAAGATAAAGCTTAAGYAGATTTTATTGTGTGCCTAAATCCTCATAGATTAATTTATTTTTAGATTGAGTCCTATAGCAAGGGCAGGTCTTGAGCACATGCTCCCATTGTTTTTCAAGAAGATGCAAAGAGCAGGATTTAGAGAGGCTTCTTCCCTGAAGCAGTTTATGACTTGGGTGACACTTAAAAGTGGAGTTTAGTGTCTGGCACTGAAAAATGGTGCCCATTGCCATTGGTGTCCCAGTGCTGAGAACTAGGCCCGTTGTCACAAAAATGTCACACATTTCCATCACCAAACCAGCCTGGTGCCTCTGTGTGTGCAGGGATCACTGAACCTGCAGTGTGCCCAGGTGGCCAAAAAAGCCAATGGCATCCTGGCCTGTACTATAAATAGAGTGGCCAGTAGGACCAGGGAAGTGATTCTTCCTCTGCCACCTGGTACTCAGCACTGTTGATGCCACACCTCAAGTACTGTATCCAGTTCTGGGCCCCTCATTTCAAGAAGGACATTGAGGTGCTAAAATTGAGTCCAGAGAAAGGCAGTGGAGCTYGTGAAGGGTCTGGAGTACATGTTCTATGAGGAGAGGTTGAGAGAGCTGGAATTGTTTAGCTTAGAGTGAAGGAGGCTCAGGTAAACTGCCTGAAAGCAGTCTGTAGCCAGGTGAGGGTAGGTCTCTGCTCCCAGGCAACTAGYCATAGGATGAGAAGCTGCGCCAGGAGAGGTTTAAGTTGGACATTAGGATGAATTTATTTGCAGAAGGAGTCATTAGATATTGTAATGGACTGCCCAGGGAGATAGTGGAGTCACCATCCCTGGAGGTGTTTAAGGAAGGACTGGATGTGGCACTTAGTGCCATGGTTTAGTTGATGTGGTGGTGTTGGTCACAGGTTGGACTCCATGACTGCAGATGTCTTCTCCAACCTAATTGATTCTGTAATTSTGTGAGCCAGCCCAGTGCCTCTGGAGTGCAGGGATCACCAAGCCAACCCAGTACCTCAGGGAGTGCCAGGACTATTGAAATGGCCTGGTGCCACTAGGGAAAAGAGGGTGCTGAGCAAAGGGCTTAGGACACTGTGGTAAAAACTCCCAGCTGACCTCAGACTTATTGCAAGATTGGGCCACATGGAGCTTCCAGGACTAAAATATACTGGGGTGTTACCCTCAGCAGCATACATCTCATTGCTTTGCTTGTAGGAAAGTAGATTTAATCTGTAACACCTAGCTTTCTTGTTCTCCTCCTGGTAGAAACGATTAATTTCTTGTGGTCTCCAGCTATCCAGAGGTATCCTCACTCAGGAATAATTTGCAGTTTGCTCTCTCATACCTAGGAGTACATTATGAGAAATGGTGAGTCAGCTGAGCAAACAGCATTTCCAGAATGCCAGAGTTACCTGCCTGCGAGGAATGTGTTGGRATCAGTCAGACTGAGAGATTGCTGMGTCTCTGAAAGTATCTTGTGAGCTTGTGGAATTAAAACAGGATAACCAAAAAATAGCTGGAGGWGGAAGATGTATGAGCAGCAGTGACTATTGGTGACATAGCTTTGACATATTTAAAAAGTGCCATGGCTCAGGAGTGAAGACATACATACGTTTAAGATGAGGAAAAGCCACTTTTCATTCCCCAGGAACTCTTTTCCTGCCTCATGTGATAAGCTTAGTATCCAGATCCCTAAGTGAGTGGGTGGACCTAGAAAAAAAGTATCATTCTTGGGCTGTGAAGGACCATCAGCTGCTTTCTATGTTCTTCTGCACTGAGGTACCTTGGCATTCTCATTGCCTGGCTTCTGGAAATCCCAACGTTTGGAAAGCAAAAAAACAGAAGAGGTGAGGAGTCATGCAGGTTTCCAGTACTGGAAGCTAACAGCTCTGTGCTGCTCTAGRTATTATTTTGGAGTATTTTGGTGTGTTAGGTGCTTGGCAGTTAGACGTGCTTGGCAGTGCCATGGGTACTCTCTGTTCCCTGGGAGGATGTGTATGCAGGTTCCAGCTGCTGTGCACTCGCTGTCCTGCATAGGACACGCATCTTCACCCCTTGGGGCCTCAGCCCTGTAACTGAATCAGTCCCTGKCAGCCGTCTCAGCTGTCACTGCGTTAGGGGAGCAGGTTTGACCTGTGCCCTTTTGGGTTACCACCATAGCCACAAATATATTTAGCCCAGCAGCAACTCCCTAAAAGCTCTGATTGAAGTGGAYCAAGTGCTTTAAGCAGCCTCCTGCCTTCCATTGGCTTGATTTAGTCAGGCTGTCTCTTAATGATGGCCAGTCACACAGTGCAGTCTTTGGTGAGCAGYTGCGAACCCCAGAGCACACTGCTATAGGGGTCTGGTGAACAAAACTCCAATGGGACACCGTGTAGAAAGGAAAAGGGATTTCTGTTGTAGTGGCCGAAGTGAAGAGACTGGCTACTGGCTACAGACTCTGGTTTGCTTCTGGATGGCAACTGAGTGCTGCTTTTTGGAGAGATGTTGGTAATCCCTAGAAGCCAATTGCTAGCCTGTCATCTTCTTGTTTACCTTGTCCTGTGTAAATCTTAGGCAAGGTTGCTCCTCCACTGGTGTTGTTTTGGGTGTCTCACAGCCACCGTTTATCTACCTGTGAGGAGAGCAGGGAGGGAGATGGCATTTAGTTGTACTGTAACCAGGCYGCTGCCCCACCCCATCCCCATCTGAGGGTGCAGGCATGTTTGGGGATGTGAGCTATGCCCTCCCTCAGCATGCACCTATTGTATTTCCAAATCACAGAATCACAGGATGAGTTGGATTGGAAGGGTCCTTAAAGCTCATTTTGTCTAAGGTCTCCCTGGAGCCTTCTCTTTTCCAGGTAAACACCCCCAGCTCTCCCARCCTGGTTCCAGAGCAGAGGGGCTCCAGCCCTTGGAGCATCTCCATGGCCTTCTCTGGACTCACACCAGCAGCTCTATGTCCTTCCTGAGCTAGGTGYCAGGGCTGGAGGGAGCTCTGCAGGTGGGGTCTCACCTGAGTGGGACATGGGCAGAATCCACCCCCCGCCCCCTGCCCGGCTGCCCATTCTGTGCCATCGTTCCAGGGCATGGGGAGTTTCTGGGGGCCAGTGCAAACAGCTGGGGCACTGCCAGCTCTCACCCACCAGTATCCCTAAGTCCTTCTACTCAGGGTTGCTCTCCGTCCATTCTCCTTGTGGAAAATGAGGTTKATAGAATTAATCTTAAATAATGCAAGGATGGTGTGTGCCTATTGTCAGCATTCCTGTTTGTCTAGGAGAGAGGCAAAAAGGGGAGTTTCTTCTACATGGTACATTCTTCTACATGGTTTCCTGCATGCAAGGATCACATTCAGGGTAGGTACAGATTTGTCTTTTTTTCAGGCAAAATTCAGCAATTATCAGAGATAAAAGCATTTCTGAGATAGTCCTTTCCCTTAATCTCTGCAAGAAAATTGCCACTTTGGAACTCATTTTGAAGCCTGAACTTASTCCTGATTTTGTGAGAGCCGGTCTCTGAATCATGTTAGCAGGCAGAGCAGGCAGGGCCACTGGCATCCTTACACTTTCCAGTTTCTTGTTGACTTTTTCATGGATCCTTCCTTCAAACATGGTGTTGAAGTTTATCTCTGCAATTGTCCCARTGTTGACTGGGACCTCTGAACATATTTAAGGTGCCTTGTCAGTAGGGCCCTCTCATATAAGGTTTGATTTTTGTACTTTTTTGTCTTCCCTYTGTACCCTTGTACACATCAGTGCAGCAAGGCTCTCTGGAATTGCTCTTCTTGATGAATGCCTGACAGTGTCTGTCTGTACCAAATGGCTGACATCATCCTTGTCCCTGTATGTTTCAGCGGAAGAGAAGGCTCGAGAGGCGGAGAGCAAAGCCCGTGCCCTCGAGCTACGCCTCGGAGGGGATCTCACGCGGGAGTCCAGGGTGAGCTTTGTGCTTTTGGCAGCATGTCATGCTTTGGGCACCAAGGGATGGTTCAGAGCACTGGCGGTGGAGTGATGCTGGCTGGGCTGCACCCCATGGCAGCACCCCATGTGCTGGTTAAGCCGGTGGTTCCAGTCAGCAGTRAACTTCCAACAACATTTAGGCATCTCCATGGTCTCATCACCACTGGATGTGCTTCACCATCTTCACATGGTGTCCAGCCCAAGTGGGAAGTGTGCTGGCATTCACCKGCCTATACCCCCAATATATCCTGCATGGGCAGGTGGCCTCCAGACTTGAGGTGCTTGTTTGCTGAYAGCCTTTGTGGGAGTGGTCTGGGGAACAGGACTAAAACTATGGGCTTTTTGTCTGTTTTCCKCTGCCTGTGCAGCTGATTCTGGGGCTTTTGGGCAGAGGCTTTTGGAGAAGTTCTCTTTGCTTCCTTCCAGTGGGACTGTGACTTTGAGAGGGGCAAGACAGAGCCCTGGTGCCAGGAGGTAGGAGTGGGGCTGGCAGGGACATCAGCAGGGTCAGCAAGTAACAGTAATTTAAAATCACTGGGCTTCCTATTGATATGTGATGGAAACAACAGTATCCAAGTGCCCTGGATGTTTTCTTGTGCTCCGGTGTTACTGGTTTCGTTTTCTTTGGTCCTTTATTACACTTAGACATTTTCCTTCAAGCAACTATGTAGCTGCCCAAACAACCTAGCATAAGTGCTGCCCTACATGTGGAGTCACACTGTTATTCTCTACCRCTAGTGAATTCTTTACATTGAAAACATTTTTCAGCTCTTCCTGAAAGAGGAGAAAATGATAAATTGAGTGAATTTTATTAATTTCTCAGCTTGACTGTGCAGTGCCTGTTTGCAGGTGATGCTGCGTCAGGTTCAGAACTCGGCCATCACCATGCGGCGGGAGGCTGACGTCAAGAAAAGGATTAAGGATGCAAAGCAGCGGTGAGTGAAGGGGCTTCCAAACTCTGGAGTTCCTAGGCTGTTTGTTCCAGGTGTTCATGTGTCTCTCCTGKTTTGTATGTATGTTTGGTTCATCTCAAAGTTCTAATATCCATGCACATCTTATATGCCTCTGGGCTGTTAAACTGAGCAGCTGGGTCACTATTCTGGTTACCTCTGCTATTCCCCTCCTACCTGCTGAAAGACATGTGGGTCTCTGGCTTGGGTTGTTTGCTTTAGATGTTTACCTCGTTTTCATATCAGCTTTTTTCACTCTTGCTTTTTCACCTGAAGATGAGGTTCAGGCTGATGAACAAATGTTCACAAGTTACAGTGAAACAGCTTTAGGAATTTTAGGGATGTTTTTTAAAAGCAGGCTGAGTTTTGGTATAGTCAGTGCTGTGAAATCCCAAGGCATTTTTCTAGCTTAGCTCTGATTCAATTGACTTTGGCTTTTGATGTACTCATAGGAATATTTCATTCTTCATATACGGTTGTTTTGCATTTCTCCAGAGAAGTGATAGCCAGAAATAAATGCTCTTAAAACAAATGCTGAGTCTGAAAAAGTTGGGGATTTGGATACAGCACTTCTCCATTCCCATCTGTATATGTGCATGCTCATTTACATGGTTTCCTAGGTCAGAATGATCACAGATTTGATGCCAGAGATAGATCTAATTCATCTTAAGATGTGTCACGATCCGCTTAACTCAAGCAGAAGTTGTGATGGTTCATTATCCGATCTTAGAGTGCAAAAGAAATGAGGGGCAAGTATGTATTCAAAACCATGAGCAATTTTATTGGATTTACATGATAGAAGAGGGTGAGAGGGAGAAAAAGAGAGAAAGAGAGAGAGAGAGAGAGAGAGAGAGAGTGGGGTTAGAGCTACCAACGGCTCAGGCGAGTCCTCGAGGTCTGGATTCCATGGATTCGTCGAAGTCAGTTGGGGAGATCTCGTCAGGGTCTTTTCAGAGAGACTCTTTACAGTCTTTTCGAAAGCGTGCGGCAGCCGGCCAAGGGGTTCTGAAGCAGGGGAAAACCAGCCAAGAGGTAGGGAAAGAATGTGCATTGTTTTGAAAGGTGTTCAGCACAGACCGKGCAGTTCTCCTCCACCTTGGTGGTAAGAACAGTGCAACCATCCRTAGCTTACACGTTGTACTCAGCAGCCTGGAAACTGGCACTTGGCGGACATCCCACCTTGATCTGGCTCGGACTCCTTAGAGCAAGAGTCCCCCCTTCTCCCCCTTGGGGGTTTTGCAGTGTTCAGTCTCTCTCCAYCTTGATGATCGTGAGACAGTCGAGGGACTTCCGTACGGTCTCTTACAAGATGCTAAAAAGAAATAAATAAATACAGCTTTAATTTAAGAGTGCTAGAGTTAGGACTGAAGATACAGAAGCTTGTGAGAGAAGCTATTTTCTTCAGCTTCTGCTTACTTTTCCAGATACAGCTTGTCCTTTAATTCTTGGGTTTGGTGACCTTAGTGTATAACAAAAAGTTTTGTGAATAGTCTTCTGCCCTTCCTGCCTGTGGGCAAAATACTTTTTCCTATTAATAAGCAGACCAGAAAAAAAAAACAAAACTGGGCAGGTATGTGGCTTTCCCTGTGTCTGTGCATTCATCACTGGTGAGCACAAGCAGTTCAGAGGATCATGCTTTTCCACAACATTGGACTTCAACCAGAAAACAGAAAAAAATACTGAAAAATGTGTATAATGGGACAGCTTCTGTACTAATCAGTTTTTGTAGTCTTTTAGAAAATTCTTAAGTTACAGAGGATGTCCTAGGACAGTTTTCTGCTTTTTCCCTGATACTGGGTGCATCAATGAAAGAAGCGCTTTCTGGTTTCTGAAGGCTCTGTATAAGATCAGGTTGGATCTGAATCAAGACAATAGGACCGGTACTAAATTCCTAGTAATGAGATCTCTAGCTTTTGATCCACTACTTCATTTTCCATGACTGGGATGATGATTTTATTTCCTGTCCTCTCTGGTAAAAATGAGAAGCTGCCCTTGTTGTTCTATAGGTGAGTACATTACTGTAGGTGAGTACATTACTGTAGGTGAGTATTACTTGAAGTGTAAGGCTCTACATTCTTTTCCAGAAGTTAGAAAAAGAAAATGAATCCCTGAGATGGGTGTTTTGCCATACTTGCTCATGCTCTTGAATCACTTGTCTACCTTGATGAGCTGAGACCAAAGGGTCACATTTCAGCCCAGCATTTGGCAGTGTTCAAAACCCTCTTGGCAAAGATTTAGATTTAAAATTACTGGAAGCTGCTATTCCAGATGTTTTCCTAGGAATATACCACAGTCACCTGTTTTAAAGTAAGGTGTATCACAGGGTATCATGGCATCTGTGTGGGGCAGGATGGCCTTCAACAAAAAACGAATATGAATTTAATCTATTTTTGGGATTTATTTTGCAATGTTTCACCGTTAAGACAGACTTAGACCTCATATCTGCAGCTGATCATTGTGTAGGGCTCTTGCGTGCATGGCTCAGGTTCTACTAATACCTGATAATAGTAGACAGTCAGCAGAACATTTTAAAGAATTCCACTATCTTCAACTAACCATTTAAGCAGAAGTCAAATTCCTCATTAAGATAAAGCACATAAGTGCGAAGGACTTGATGGAGGCAGGTGGGGAATATAAAGTACATCAAATTTGAGAGTGGTGGACAGGACCGTGGTGTAGGCTCTGCCTTGCAGTAGATACAGRTTTGGACCTCGCATTTGAGGATACCTTCAGCCTGAAGCTGAGGATCCTTGTTACGAAAAATCCTCAGCATAGATTTCAGGGAAGCTGTGGGACCTGATTAATWTAGCGTGATGAAGAGCAGGACTGCTGTTTGTGAAATACAGGAATTTTGTTTGATTTGTAGCGCAAAATCTTGAGGATTTTGGCTTTGATTGACATAGAATTCCTTGTAACCAAAGATTCATATTTGGAAATCCCTGTGGACTCACAAATGTACTTGAGGCCAACTTTTGTAGGGAGTCATCTGCTATGTAGAAAAGGGAGAAATCATGCAAATTCATATACTGACATTCTAGAAAAAAAAAAAAAAAAAGCTGTGCTTGGGCTGTGGTTGTATCCTCCAGCTTTCCAACTTAAGGAGCAGCCTTGGAATTGGAGAACTAGGAGAATTTTCTAGAATCTGAATATCAAGACTATCTATCAATACTAGATTTGTATTGAAATATACATGTCCATGCTTTATCTTGATAGGGATCTATATCTGGAAAAATACAAACCAAAATAGCATGGGGAAGGACTAGTCTGGGCGCAACAGCACTCATAAGACTAGTTCACTGAATAAAAACATCTGAAGTAAAAACCAGAATCTGTTCTGAAGGAGAAAACATATTCAAATGAATAATTAAATTTTCTGTCCAGCCTWAATTAGTATCTGTATTGCAAATTTTTTTTGTTTTGTTCATATTGAGTTATAATGCCCTTTCAACAAATGTTTTATATTTTTCACAAGTAGCTGATTACAGGATTAATTTAATGCTCAAGAGTGCTAGATTTCCATACCCTCTCTCTAACACCAGCAAATAATGCACTTTATTTTCAGCATTTCTTGAGGCTCTGATTCATTCCCTGCAGGGCGCTGAAGGAACCCAAAGAGCTGAACTTTATCTTTGGGGTGAACATTGAGCAGCGYGAACTGGATGGCATGTTCATTTATAACTGCAGTCGGCTGATCAAGATGTATGAGAAGGTGGGCCCACAGCTGGAGGGTGGCATGTGAGTCTTGCAGATTTTTCTGCCATATTTTTCTTAAGCCTGGCATTTTTCTACATCTGACTTAGGCTGTGCAATGACTGTGTTCTGCATTAATCATTCTTCATGAGCCTGAGGCTTGCTCATTTTGCCAGCCTTCAGTTTGCATTCTGACAAATGAATTATATTTAATACTGTCTAATGTTTCCCTGGTTTCTTGACAGAGAGTTCTCTACTTGAAGGTTAGTCATCCCTGCAGCAGTATGAGGTGCTTGGTGTTCGGTGCTGACAAGTGCTGATAGTAGTAGTGCCTCATTCTAGGGACAATGAAAATAATTCTTGACATCAAATACAAATATTTGAGCCCATYTTACATTTTATATGATGATTCAGATTGCAGGCCTGTTACTTTAATGTTTGTGACTGTGTGTCTCTCTTCCAGGGCATGTGGAGGAGTGGTAGGTGTGGTGGATGTGCCCTATTTGGTTCTGGAACCAACCCATAATAAACAAGACTTTGCTGATGCCAAGGAGTATCGACACTTGCTGAAGGCCATGGGAGAGCATTTGGCTCAGTACTGGAAGGATGTTGCAATAGGTAATGAAGCTTCACGATTACCAGGGTCTGGAAGGAGAAACTTGGGTGGCTGGAGGGYAAACAAGAGTGCAGATGGTGATTTTGTCATAATGGCTCCATACTGAGCAGGATGTGGTTTGCTTTGCAGCCCAGAGAGGTATCATCAAGTTCTGGGATGAATTTGGTTATCTATCAGCAAACTGGAACCAGCCTCCATCACGTGAACTGCGCTACAAGCGCAGGAGAGCCATGGAGATCCCCACCACAATTCAGTGCGGTGCGTCTGATCCAGCTGCTTCTCCCTGGGGAAGAGGGGGGAACTCCTKGCTGCAGCTGAGGGCACCTAAATGCATAGGAGATTTGGGATGGACTATGATTATTGCCTCCTAGGGCCTRTCTCCTCTGCAGGTTGCCTTGCAGTCAGTGGTACTCTGTGACATCCTAGCATAAGGCTCCCTTCCTGCACAGTTCACTAACTGATCTTCAGGTGCCCTGACAGAGCAGGGCAGGTATGGCCAGTAGCAGTGTTGAGAGCAGGCTTAGAAATACCATATGAACTGGAACTCACCAAAGCCACCCATCCCAGAACCAGAATAAGATCTGAAACATCCTCCCAGGCAATGGGAAGTGACCACRTAATTTGTACCCTGATGCAGTGGCCTGCTGATCAGTAGTGTGTGTCAGCAAAGAGGGACTGTTTTACAGTTACCTTGGAATTTAATGCAAGTTCTCTTCTATGCACTGAAAAGCTCTGGCTAAGCCCTTGTTAGGGTAATGGGAAGCTCAACACCATCACTTTGTCTCCTGGTAGAGGGACACCAAACTCCCTTATTTTCTCCCCAGGACTTGAGGATGAGGTTGAGGAAAGGAATGTAAGGTCATTCTTGTGGAATAATTTGTTAGGCTCTTCTGCCTTGATGGTTTCCTCAGGCTTTTCAAGGTTCTTCTGAAAGAGGAGGGGTTTTACTTTCCTTGTCTTCCCTTGTTGATATCCTTCCAGAGCCTGAATTAAGGACGTTTGGATTTTCCTGGTAGAATCTGATTTTGTGAATCTGTTGGTTTCCTGGTRGGCCAGCAATACTCTGGAAGAAAAACTTGTGTTCCTGGTTCATCAAAAAAAAAATAGATCATTATACATTTCTCTTTAGTGGATAAGTCTCTGATTTGTGTTATTTTGGTATCATTAAGAGACAGGCTGACAGSTGGGCTGAACTGTGCTGTTAGGACGACTGGCTGTTAAATTCAGTTTGTATATGCCATTGTTGCAGCAGGAGTGTGAGGTCCTCTGGTATTGGTTGATGATGCCAGGCCTCATTGCATTCTTGTTAGGGATGTCTTTGAGAGTTKCATTCAAGCATTTTCTGAGCATGAAGCAAGAATTGACTCAATRTATTCTGTGATTGTCTCACTTTTCTTTTGGCCACTAGTCTTACTGTTGTTGGATACACTTTGRTGTGGTCCTTGGGTGTTAAATGGGCTGTAGAGAAAAGTGATGCATCTCAGGCTGTGTATTTCTGACTTGCAAAGCATGTGTCTGACAGATGTCTGTCTGAAGTGGCGGACTCTCCCATTCCAGCTGAGCTCAGTGGAGAAGAACTACCCTGATACCTGGGTGTGCTCCATGAACCCTGATCCTGAACAAGACAGGTAAGAATMGGTTAAGACTTTTCTGCAGTGTGCCTTATCTGTACATTTGGAGCTCTTTTCTGGTTGTCTGTTCTTTGAAAACAGTTGGAGGGATTCCATTCCTTTAAGTTCTGCTCACAGTCTGTGAAAAGGCATGTGTATGGGGAGCTGAATGCTGCGTGGGCATTTGCGATGTACCAATTTGGAGGACATCCTCAGCAAGTGACAAATGACACCAAACTGGGAGAAGCAGCTGACAAACCAGGCAGTCATGGATCCATCCAGAGGGACCTGCAGGCTGGAGAAATGGCTGACAAAAACCTCCTGAAGTTCAACCAAGAGAATGCAAAGTCTTGTCCCATGGGAGGAGCAACCTCAGCACTAATGTGCGCTGTCCATTCCAGAGCTGAGCATGCTCAGGCAATTCTCATCAAGGTATACAAACACCTAATGGCAGGCTGCAAAGAGGACAGAGCCTGGCTCTTCCCAGTGGTGTCCTTTGGCAGGACCAGATGGCACGGGCACAAACTGGAGTGCTGGAGGGTCCCTCAGCACAWCAGAAACACTTTTTCTTGCCAGGGTGATCAAATCCTGGCCCAAGTTGCTCAGGGAGATTGTGGAGTCTCCATCCTTGGAGATATTCCAGGATGTGGTCATGGGCTCCTGGTGTTGGGTGGCCCTGCCTGAGCAGGGGATGGAACCAGAGGGACTGCAGAGCTATGTCTAGCCTCAACCAGTGTTACAGTGACATTCAGATCCTTGGTGGCTTTTCTGCACTGGTGCCAGAAATACTRCTGTAGATATACATGATATTAATTTTGCTATGGGCAGAATAGATGGCAATTGGAGAACTATCATGTTGCACGCTGGGAGTTACATGTTTTCGGGAGGGCTTTGCAGTTATCTTTACTGCTTCTACACCTTCCACTCATCAGACACCAAACTGCAGCAACTCCACTCGATTGGGGTGAGCCCAGGAGGGGCATTTTGCATGCTTGAGGGAGCAGYGCAATGATTCACTTTCCAGTGATGTGTTTTGCAGTTGTAAAATGTTAATAGAATCTAGTAATTTATTTGAGTGAAGAAAATGATTACCCTAGGTTGCTTCTCTGTGGAGAGCAATGCCTGGAAGCCAGTTCTTGTCTGTATTGTATAAGGAAGGGAGGCTACTCCAYTGTAACTCAGGTATCTTGGCTCAGGGCTTAAAGACAAAGGGGATGAATCCAGGTGGTAACTTTTGATTGGAATAAAAATTGTAACATCTGTGGCTGAAAATTTTATAGAATAGTAATGCAATTTGGAAATACTGGTTTTCTGGCTTCTTCCTTTTGGTACCTCCCACTGGAAGAATACCTATGCTGACTTCCCTGTTGGTCCATGTGTATGTAAAGCTCCTGCTGTAGAGCTCTGAGGAGCATGGCAGTGCTGAGGATGTTCCTGGACAGAGTGCTGGGGCAGGGCTGAGCTTGGAACCTAGAAAGGGGCTGCCACATCCCCAACCCTTCAGGTGGAAGCAGTAGTGAGGCTGGGAAGATGTTGCTTGTAGGCTCACACAAACACAGACCATGTAGGTACACACATGCAGCCACACAGATATCACAAGTGGGCGTGTGCAGCACTCACACAGACTGCACCAGTGGTTTCATCCTTTTCCCTCTTGGCTGGTCAGGATGAAGGACCACTGGTGGAAATACTTATACTTATGGTCCATACCTGGCCTCCAGATCCTGTGCCTCTGGTTACTTGCACTGGGATAGATGGGCCTTGAGGCCTGCAGTCCCAGGAGGTGAGGTGTACAGACCTCCCTCTTGTGGTTACACATAACACACACACACACTACAGACTTCACASTGTCTTACACTGGGCATCTCTCTGTCTTGACTGGATTGGGATCCTTGCTATTCCAAGGTGCTTCCTGCCTAGAGACACCCTCCGCTCTGCCTACACCCCTATACTCATCTCCATCAGCTGGACAGTACTTATCTGTCCATCCAGTAATCAGCTTCTATGGGTCAGCCTTAGACATTCCCTCTCCTCGCCTCCCAGGTCACCTCCTGGCTGGCTCCTCTTGCCTGACGTTTGCTGTGGCTCGTGTTCATTCATGCGCCTGTAGTCACAGCAGCTGGTGGCACTCAGGCATATGGGCCACTGTGACCAGTGGTCCCACTCCAGCTGCTGGCACTTGCACTCCAGTACACAGATGCACMCACAGAATGGAGCCCCTCACCTAGGAAAGGGGGGACATGGAGGTTAGTATACAGAGCTGTACTGACCAGCCAATGGTTTATGTGCAACTGGCCCTTGTTATAGTCTGTTTTTCTCAAGTTTGTTCTTCCCCAAATCATCTCAGTCCCTTCCTTTACCTGCTTTTGGTTCCTCCCATTGGTCCAAAAGATGTTTCTAAGGGCTGCCTCCATGGACCAGACCCTGGGGCTGAGGCTGCCATGGGACAAGTCCTGGCAGGAACCCAAAGGGGTTTCTGTTCCTCTGAACAGATTTGCATTCCCCAATTCCCAAACAGCCCAATTCACATCCCCTGAGCTACCTTTGGGCTTCTGGGCTTATGGAAATGGACCTGGGATTGCCTGAAAATAGCCATAAAGGGRTGCTATTCAGGTCCCCTCACCTGCCATTGTATCTGTGCTCTTCTGTCTGCAGATGGGGTCTTTATTGCATCACCTACCAGGAACTTGATTTTTGGATAAAAGAATTAAAATTTTTTATTTGCAATACCTTGAAAATTGGGGGTGGGTGCAGGTGGATGCCTGCATTTCATGTGAGAACATGTTGGCATGTTGTTTGGAGTGAGTCCAAGTGCCTCTTCACTGCATGCTGTGCCATCCTACRTCCTCCGTGCAGGGAGCTGGGAAAGGGCTGGTGGGGCGCGGCACTGGTGATCCAAATTCCTGGTCATTTCAGCTTCAAAAGGAATCTCAGGAGTCTTACTCTGGAAGAATAAATAACTCCAGAATATTTTTCTTATTAAGTAGGCTTACGTGTACCTTCCAGAAGTGAGTGCACTTGTGTCCTTTACATGAAGCAGAAGTTGCTCCAGCATGCTTCTGGCTTTTGGCTGGGGCCAATTCCAAGTGCTGCACTACCTGATTTTTCCTGCTAGGTCCTTGTGCAGAGTTTGGACACCTTCACATGGGTGTCCTGATCATTCCAGGTATTTGTAGCATTTGAAGGATGACAGGATTTGAGAAGCACATGTGTGGGATCCTCAAGCTTGGGTACTGTGMGGGTCTGTGCGGTCTCATCTAGCCAGATTGGAAACGAAGCAATGTCAAAGCTGCTGTTGAGAGTCTTCTAGCATCAGAGATCACGTGGTGGTTTTGGCTGCCTTGGTGCAGAGTCCACTGTTGGCACCGAGCCTTTCCCCACCCTTCTGGTTTATCCACCTGCACTCAGTGGCTGCTCGTGGCATGTTGTTCCAGATCATGGGATCTGAATGCCCTTCTTCGTCTCTGTCATGGGAAGCAGTCACTCCTTCCAGTGATACAGTCTGTGTTGGGATCAGTGCTAGGTGCCACCATTGCTTACTTTGCTACGGAGAAGGCAGTGTCCCTGTTTCACACTGTGAAATAGTGTCAGGCTCGCTTGCTTCTGTTCCCCTACCTGACATCCAGTTGGATTCTAAATGTCTAAATTTGAATGGGTGGCTGAAGCACCAGTTGTAGATGATTGTGTGTCTCAAAGCTCCTTGAGCACCACTGGAGTCTTGGTTTTAGGCTATTCTGACTACCAAGATAATTCCTTTGTTCTGATTTGCTGCCTCCAATGATGCAATCTCTGGGTTTGGATGCCATGAGTAATCTGAATTATTCCTGTCACAGAACTGTGGTGCTTTCATTATTTACTGTGTTGTAAGACACAGCTTGGCAATGCTTCCAGCCTTGCCATGAGCTGGACGATGCATTTCTATGCTGGAAGACTTGTATGTGGTGTTACTTGTTCAAGTTTATCTTTGGGAACTGCAGGTTTGGCTGCAAAGTCGTTTTGCAGTGATGGCACACTTAGCCAAGGAAGCCACACTTGACCCTTAGCCAAGGTAGTAACCACTCTATACAGTGCTTCAGCCRAGAAAAGGCTGATGGAGGAACTGCTTCTTGTGCTCCTTCTCACTCACTAASCTGAATAATGTGTGTCTGGTCGACAGAGATCTTGATAAAATCATCTCTCGTCAGCTTCTTAAAGCTTTTGAGTGSTCTACAGTGAGAGCAGCGTCCTCCCTTTACTAATAAGACTCACATCTGCAGGTTACCAGCTTGGCTCCAGTAGATTCAGCTTGCTGGATCTCTTGTCGTGTACAAGGGCCATCCTCTGCTTTCTTGGCRCAAACCATTCTTGCATGACTTTACTCCAGCAGGGCTGATCCTGGTCTTTCCATGATTTCATTTGGTTACAGGACATGAGCCTGAGCTCAGTCCCCTCTTCCTGCTCTGGCATTGCTCCTGAGGACCAGCTGCTCAGCTGGCACTTCAAAGGTGATGCCAGTCCAYTTGAGAGGGTATTTCCAGCCTGTGTTTTCCTCCTCTCTCAAAGGCTCTTCCGGGATTCTGCATCTGAGAGGACCTGGGGGAGTAGGATACTCACCACTATTGTAGGCCTTAGGCTGAAGAGGATGGAAAAAGCAAATAGCTACAGGGTATTGCAAGGGGAATTTGAGTGGCAAGGCAGAAGGCATCTGAGGCTGGAAGGCTTATGGTAACTGGTCATGGGTTACTGGTGCTGTGCTTTTCTTTCAGAAGGGAAAGAAGTTTGTGGAAAGAGGAACTCTTATGAAGACATAAGCTGATAGGAAGGAAAACTGCTGAGAAAACCTGGAATACACATGCAGTACAGAAGCTACCACAGCTATCATAGTTCTTGGGCTCTGAATTGGTGATTCCCAGCATAAATGCCTTTTTATTAACAACTATRCTTTCAATTCTTATTTCTTATCTGTTTCCCAAGATGAAAACCACTGCCTTTGAGATTGTGGTTACTGCAGAAAGGCAAGTGGCTTTTCTGCTGCATTTGGGATGAGATGTTGGGATAATCCTGTGTGTGACACCAGTTCTGCTGTCCTTGCTGAGGTTGTCTTGCATTCCCTCCATGTTAGATGTGAGGCTGCAGAGCAGAAGCAGAAGGTACCACTGGGGACTCTAAAAAAAGACTTGAAATCACATGAGGAAAAGCAGAAACAGCTGACAGAGAAAATCCGCCAGCAGCAGGAAAAGCTGGAAGCTCTGCAGGTGAGTYTGGAGGTCTCCAGCTAGGCAGAGCAGGTGTAATGGACCTCCTTGTGCAAAGGGCTGCTGCTGAATCTGAAACCACATGCTCCTTCATGAGGCTGACACTGTTCTAATAACAGAAATTCACCATCTCAGATTACATTTAATTTTCTGTTGAGAAAATGGGTACTACAGCTGAAGGGATGTCTCTCGAAGGATACAGAACACACCTTATAATTGTCAATTTTAGCCTGGAAAACTGCTGGGATGGGTTCAGGCAGCCCCTGGCAGCCTGTAAACATGACCTTTCTGATTTTGTTTTYGATAGAAAACCACTCCAATTCGATCTCAGGCTGACTTAAAGAAACTGCCTTTGGAAGTGACCACACGCCCTTCAAGGGAGGTAAATGGGATTCTGCTGTAGTCTTGTACTCTTTTGTGCTTCCTTAGCTATTCTGAACAGCAATTCCCCACTCTTCTACCCTTCCTCTCTGTGTACCCTCCTTCATTTCAGCACACCCGACCTCAGCGCCCACGGTCTCCTCCTTTGCCTGATGTAATCAAGAATGCTCCTAGCCGACCACCAGGATCTTCACCTCCTCCCAAGTCCAGCAGTCAGCTGAAAAAGAGCTCTTCAGATCATCCAAATACCAGCTCTCCCAAGCTGGCCAGCATGCWTTTAAAGGAGGAGGCCAGCACTTCCAGGACACACCATCACACTGTGACAGCAGGGAAGTCTAACAGCACTTTAAAAACTCTTGCCAAACCAGGTACAAACATGAAGTCCCTCTCCGGCCTGCAGAGTCATAAAAGCCCACGTGAGACACCCAATCCAAAAGCTACCAAGGCGCCAGCTGTGAAGAAATCTGCCTCTAGCAGATATTCACAGGTAAGAATCAATGGAATGAAACCCCTCAGCTCCTCACCCACTTCTAAGGCTGTCCTGCTAAGCCTGTCTGCTCTGTCTTGTGGGATATGCATTGTGGGTCCTGCACAGGATGAGAGAACTTGTACTTTACTCTTGGGTTAGGGTGCCATCTACACCCTTTAAGAAGACTTGTCTCATCTCTTTCCTATTAGACCATATTGTTTCTCCAGAAAAAAAAAAGCATGTGGAGTGGTGGGGTAGCATTTGCATGACGATGTAGCATCTCTAAAACCTTCCAGAAAACTACCAAACTAAATACTAGTTAATTACCAAATTAAAACCTGGATGTTGGTTTGKTTTTTTTTTTTTTTTAAGTTGGCTGAAAGGAGGTTTTGGTTGGTAGCAGGCTGGAATTAATAGCTAGAACTTTTTTGCTTCCTTTAGGCTTCCAGCACTCGAAAGAGGGCCTTGAACATCTCAGAGGATGGGTCTGAGGAGGAGAGGGAGCACAAAAAGGAGAGGACAAAACGAGGAAAATTTTTGGCACTAAAAGAAGAGAAGGATTCCAATGAGGTGGTGGTGGAGGTGAGAGTGTGCTGGTTTCCCCAGCAGAAGGAATTTGTCAGGTATTCATAACCTTGATGGGAGTGAACTAATGTGAGYTCTCTCTGCTCCCAGCTCACAGACAGTGCTGGAGAGGAAGAATTGTTGGAACTGAAGAAAGCACAGAAAGGTGAGAAATGAGCCCTTGGGCTGCCACCAGTATCTGACATATAAAAGAGCTGTTGCATCAGTTAAACATATGATTTCATTAATGAGATTTTAAAGTAAGAAATAGTGTAAATTATGACATAGATGACTAACTTGAATGAAACATTTTGGCTGGGAACCCTTTGATTAGATCAGAGGCAGTTATGGTGTGGTCAATGGCTGTGTCATGTTGACAGGGGTAGGGCTGGGCTGCAGTGTGTAGCTGATGCATGTTCACCCTTCCTGAGTGGATCATGGAGCCATGCCAGCTGGAAAATGCTCAGGACTGTGTCCAGATCTGTTGCACTGTTGTAAGAGAAGAGGGGCTGGGAGACCCCAGGAAAAGTGATAAAGCAGGGTGGTACTGCATCATCTGCCAGAGAAGAGCATTTCTTCAGCATGCTTCYGAGGAGGTGTCTGGAAAGCGGCCCACTAGGGAGATGTGACAAATTGTCCTAGAGGCCATCATGAGACTGGAAAACCCATGTTAAACAGCTTGGAGTACAGGAGAGACCTTCCATCTGGAGTCACAGCTCATTTCCATGCATCTTCATGTATCTCAGCAGGAGCTGACCTGTATGCCCATTGTGTTTTTATGGTATCYGTACTTTTTGAGGGCATTGTCACAGGTTCAGGTGTGCTCCCTGTTGAGGTGCCTGAATTTCTAGAGCTCCTGTAGAATGTGCTTTCCAGCAGCTGAATGTTTGCAACACCTTTGCTTCCCCCTCACAGATAAGGGGCTGCATGTGGAAGTGCGTGTGAACAAGGAATGGTTCACGGGCCGTGTCACAGCTGTGGAAAGGGGCAGGCACACAATCCGGTGGAAGGTGAAGTTTGATTATGTCCCTACAGACACCACACCAAGGGATCGCTGGTAACTATATTGAGCTTTTGGATTTTGGAGGCTTGTTTTTGTTTTGGGAGGAAGGGCCTGTTTGATTGCCATAGATGCTGAAGACAAATATGCTGTTGTCATGTCAGGAAAGTGTGAGGTCAGGACTGTTGAGAGCTTCATAAGGAATGGGCATGACAGATTCCATCAGTCTTTCCCTCTGATGCCTGCCCTGGAGGCAGCTGTTTTGTGTCTAGAGGTCTGAGTGACACTTGGGTACAAGTTCTGATGAAACTTAACCGTGTTTCAGGTATGTCCAATGTAGAAAAAAAATTTCTGACATTCTCTTAATACTTTTTCTCAGGGTAGAGAAGAACAGTGAGGATGTAAGGCTAATGAAGCCTCCCTCTCCTGAGTACCATGCTGCAGACACACAGCAGGAAGAGGAGGTGATCGTGGCTGAACCTTCTACCTCAGATTGCATCAGAACCGAGCCCGACACCACTGGTCCCAGCAGCAGCCAAGAAACAGTTGACTTGCTGGTCCAGATCCTTCGGTGGGTTCACTTCAGCCCTTGTAAGCTTTGCAGTCTGATTGCTTCTATCTGTTAAACTTCCAACTCTGGCTTTGTGTTTTGTTTTCCTGCACAGGAATTGTTTGCGATACTTCTTGCCTCCAAATTTTCCGATCTCCAAGAATGAGCTGAGTTCAATGAGCTCAGAAGGGTTGTTGGCATTTCCCTTGGTGAGTTCAGTACTTCTAGAAAATTAAGTTTGTGTGTTTTCCCCACACATATTCCATTCTTATGGCAAATGTGCATCCTGTTGATGCAGAAGTGCATTCTTGAAAAGGTGATTTTGATCCTTGGCAGACTAACTTAGTCAAGAAAAAGAATGAGAGATGCCTTGAGTCTTGTAACAGTGGTCTGAGGATTTTTCTGATTACCATACATCTGTGTGAGAATGCTGTTGACTGCTGCTATCATAAATTCTTACCCATTGCTGTTAAACTTCTAAAAAAGAGAGGCCACGTTAGAGGTTTGTAGAAGCAAGAAGTAGACATATCTGTTAGTTTTGCTCCCAGCCTTAGAACTTATGTGGAGACAATCTTAAAAATGGTAAATAATAACAAATAACTATCCTCAGATTCACAGAATATTCTGAGCTGTAAGGAAGCCACAAGGATAATAGAGTCCAACTCTTAGGTTAATGGCCCAAATAGGGATTGAACCCACCTTAGTGTGGATTCCATCCCTTTATAGGCCATTTACTTTAGTGTGAGAGAACATGGAAGCCAGCCCCTTCCCACTTCCCCTGGAGAGCAGGTTGACTGCCAGCGAATCAGCTGCAGACATTAAGATTTTTGGCCTCTGTTTATTTGAGCACAAGACAGGTGGGACTGAGCTTCCACCAGTGTTATCCACCCGCAGGCTGGTACCGGAGGTCCAGTGCTGGCTGGAATGCAGGGCAAGGGAACGAGCCTCTGACTCTTCCCTTCTCCAACATACCACCAAAAGAGACCTTTCCAGGAGGCACATGTAAATGACAAAAGCCACCTGCAGATGACCACAYGCCTAAAGCCGGTGCTGTTCTGTTCTCCCACACTTGCAGTGTGTGTATTGGCAGTCTCTCTCGTCTCCTCCCCTTCTGTTAACTCAGGCATCTGCTGGCAATTGTTGGAGCTCCACTCCTTCCACAGGACACTTAGGTTGTGTCTGGGGTTTTTGGYGAGTGTAGCTATCCCTACCTTGCAGTGAGAGGCTGTGTTGTCTGGGTGATCTCTATTAAGGATACTCAGAGWGTACAGGAGATGGCATGCCTTGCCTGCAGCGTACCTGTGGGTTCAAGCTTCTTAAAGCACACAGCACCCTTAATCTAARTTCAAGCAGCTTTGGGGACAGTTCTAGTATTGGAAGAATGTGTGTTCCGTGCTRGCTAGAGTAGGCAAATCAGATGTAAATATGAGTGTGGGCAGGGTGTGCAGGGGCACGCTGCAAGGAGGATTTGATCACGGAGGCCAGGAGTTTGAATCTTCTACAAACCTCTGAGTGTTCATGTTTTTGTCATGCTCGGTGCTTTCTCTTAACGTGTCATCTGTTGTGTTTTGCCTACTACAGAAAGAATATTTTAAGCAGTATGAGGTGGGTCTGCAGAACCTGTGCAATTCATATCAGACACGTGCTGATGCCCGGGCCAAAGCTTGCGAAGAAAACCTCCGGAACTCAGAGAGGAAGCTGAGGGAGACGGAGGAGAAACTGCAGAAGCTGAGGACTAATATCATGGCCCTTCTGCAGAAAGTGCAGGAGGTGGGTAAGGAAAAGTAGCCAACCCTGAGCTGCCTCAGAGTAGCWATCTGGCTCATCCACTCTGCTTTACAAGTGTTTCTTGCATCTTACTGGACTCCAGCATCCTCAGCTGGGAACAACTTAGGCTCTCACTGCCCACCTTTGGGTTCCAGGCCCTGGGAGTCCTGATGTGTGTTAATTCTCACAGAATGATTTTTCAGGGCRTGTACATATGCACAGGTTCTGTTCTCCACCTTCTGCTGTAGAACATGAGGCTGCAGAAGAATTTCCCCAGGCATAGGCAGTGCTCAGCAGGGAATTTCTGCCCCTTTCTTGGGGGCAGATTCTGAACTCCATATATGGAAGTGAAAACCTTTAAACAAATAGTATAAAAAAAACCTTATGGGGAAATTGAAGTATTAGTTATACTATTAAATTAAGAAAGACAATATGTATTTAATTAAAACATTTAAATAAATAATGTTAAATTTAAAAACAACTTTAATAAAATTGAGATCAACCAATGGGAAGGTTACTGAAAACATCTAGGAGCAGTTGCTTCCTGTTAGGAAAATGTTCTGAATCTAAAAAAACCCTAACCAGACCTACCGATTGAGATCAGTAAATCTATCACTTGAGTGCATTGTTTGAGCATCGGGTGCTGATGGGTTTCCAGGTATAGGCTTTTGGGTGCTGACAGGGAAACTGGGGTGTTGTCATTGCAGCTGTCAGCAGCTGGAGGGTGCCAGAGGTTGGGACATAGAGGCTGAGCAGGCTGAGATGTCACAGAAGCTGCTCAGCTGCTCTGGCTCCTCTTTTCTTACACTGTTCAAGATTCACTTCTCACTGGTRTTTCTTGTTCCTTTTGTTTCAGGACATTGATATTAATACAGATGATGAACTGGATGCATATATCGAGGATTTGATCATGAAAGGAGACTGAGCAGCTCCRGTACGAGTCCTGGAGAAGTGCAGAGGAGCTGGCTGCTGCAATGGGAGATGTGGATCTCTCTGTGGATGGATTGGGGCAGCTGATGGGGAAAGAGAGTTTTTTAGACAGTGCTCATGTTGGTGTACAACTTGTTCCTGTGACTGTACATGAGAAACATTCGTGCTGTTGGCAGGAAAATTTGTAACATGGTAGTTCTCTGAATCTCTTTCTTTCATTTATAAATATTTATTTTTAAATGAAATGGGAACTGTGCCGGATACAAGGAGTGTTTTTAGTGATGCAGGAATGCGAGTACCCTTTCTGCATCTGGGCTATAGTCCTATGCTAAAAGCGGGATCCTGGAGCACCCTGCCTAGCAGGTTGTCTCCAGCCAGAACCTGGCAGAAACTGAAAAATAAGTCTTGAGTTCTGGCAGAGGAGGTCAAGATTTTGTTGTGAAAGATACTGAACTGGGGCTAGAGAAAGCCAAGCCAAGGATTTGAGCTATAGAAAGGAGATATCTCTGTGTGAGTGTGAATGGAAGGGGATGGAGCTTGATGGATCTGGGGAATTTGGCACTGGCGTGTGCAGTGAGCTTCCTGAACAGGAGGTTGCTGTAAGTGGGTGGAACTGCCACTGTGGTAACAACCACGAGGCTGAAGGTTTTTCTAGAAGAGGATGACCTCCTGGGCTGCTCACAGTGAGCTGTGAGTATCAGAGGGAGAACGTTGGAGGTTGGGTTCTCTGCTTGCAGACACTTTATTACTCACTTCTGCTGCTGTTATCTCTGAGACATAATTACAGCGTCAGAAGRATTTCTTGACCACCTGACAATAAAGTGACCCATGTCCTATTGTCACCCCTCAGGTTTGTGTTACTTTGATCAATTTTCTCTTCAAGATAATTTTATTACTAGAAAGTAATTATTAGAGAGAGGCTATTTGGAGCCTTCAGAGCCCTACACCACTGATTGGCATCTGGCCCTGTGCCTACAGCAAGGAAAACACCTGTCCCTTTTTCTTCAGCTGCAGCCAGCTCCTTGTAGGCCACTTGTGGCCAAGGGGACTAGGTCTTGGTTTGCTGGCTGGCCAGCAGCCTCTCAGGTCTCCTAGGATGAAGTGCCTGTGGACTCATGCTCGGAAACTGGAGTCCTCTGGAAGCCAGGTGATTGGAGAAACATGGTGTGAGCAAGAGGTACCCACCATCAGGGAGGTCAGGTGGAATGGACCCTAGGAGTTCACTTGACACCTGGATGTGTAATAGATGCTTTGCAGAAAACCCTTCCAAATTAAACAAACTGTTGCGCAGAGAATCTTTGGCACTAATTGTTTATAGTCCTGAAGAACTCTCTAGTTATACAGACTGCAGGAGAGGGGGAAGGCTTTTGCTTATTACCCGAATGCCAGGTGCTTGTCACAGCACACRGTGAGACTGACTGCTTCCATCCAGAATCTGGGCCTGACCTTCAACAGTAAATGAAGGTAAGGAGTGTTCCCCCATCCTCATACACCTTCCTGCAGAGGTGCAGGCTCCACCAGTCTCCTCGCACATACTGGGGGCTAGTTGTGGTGATACACTGCTGTTTCTGATGAAAATCATCTGGAGAAGCTGCACTTTTTWTTAAGGTGAAAGAAGAAATCTTTGTCCTTCCCTGGAGCCAGCAGACATTTTAGAGAACCAGATTTTGTTATATTGCAGTTCAGAGCTGCTGCTGCACATAGGCTTTAATCCCTGACACCCAGAGGACACCAGTGTGGGGCTAACAGCTCTTACACAGTTCTTGAGTTTCTTGGCATAGTTTGATTCCCTACTTTCTCATGTTAGGAGAGTGCTACTGTTTTGTTTTGGGTTTTTTTTTCCCCTCTGTTCTGTAGAACTTCTCATTTCCAGTTTTAATTCTTGTCTTTTAACGCATTTCAATTTTTTTGTCTTCTAACAAGGTTTTTTGCTAGGAAGAGCAAGCCAAGAACTTTTAAGTGCCAGTAAGTCCAGTTTTTCATTCTTACACCCTTCCGGGCAATCCTCTGCAGCTGCTTTTTTTCTTTGTTTTGATTTTGYTTTTGTAAATTTGTTAAGTATATCTGTGTGTACCATGACATCTAAAACCCATAGCCTCAGAATGCTTCCATTTGGGATCCAAACTGCTAGCTCCAAGCAGGGTACACTCCAAMGCTGTATCAGGCAGTTCAGGGCATATTGCTGTTGAGATCTCAAAATCAGGGGGCGAGGGTGCCCCACAGCTCTGCACCACACACCTCTGCYATGGGTGTTCTTCCTGGTATAACACAGGGATGTTTCTGTCACATTTCAAAGGCAGTTCCAGTTCAGCCATCAAGAACCTGTTCCCTKCGTGTAGCTCTGCCATTAACACCTCCTCCATTGGGCAGTTAAGCCTGTTGATGCCTCTGCTTTTCCTGTCATCCTCTCTGCGCTCAGTTGTTTCTTACAGCAGAAATACTAAGAATAACACAAGTTTCATTTTGCACAACATACCCCTTCCCTTCTCTATGACCAGCTTAATCCCTTCCTTATGCATTCCATTTTGGAAATTCTTACCACAGCTGTCCGATGGGTGCTTCATGCCAGCTCCCTTCTGGCTGGTGAGGTTGCTCACTGCTGTAGTTAATAGGAAAGTGCCTTGTTTTAACATGAACCTATGGGACTTGTGATTGTTTTTTCAAGTCAACTTTGCTTCAGTGGCTCACCTGCTGTAGTTCACAACACTGGTGGGCTCCTGACAGCAGRGCCGTGGTTGTGCTTGCTGCTTCCTTTGTTGAAGTGCCACCCTGGCATCTACGGGCTCTGTCAGCGCTCCTCCACCTCACACAGACTTGCCCAATTTCTCTTGAAGAGTGAGACAAGAATCCCCAAGCTCATGGCAGTTGATGCCTCTGCCAGTGTGCAGGATGTGGTCCTGCCTGCACATCTTTGCAGGCCATGTACTGCTACTGTT